TCTCTCTCCCTCTTCTCTCTCTCTCTCTCTCTCTCTCTCTCTCTCTCTCTCTCTCTCTCTCTCTCTCTCTCTCTCTCTCTCTCTCTCTCTCTCTCTCTCTCTCTCTCTCTCTCTCTCTCTCTCTCTCTCTCTCTCTCTCTCCCTCTCTCTCTCCCTCTCTCTCTCTCTCTCCCTCTCTCTCTCTCTCTCTCTCTCTCTCTCTCTCTCTCTCTCTCTCTCTCTCTCTCTCTCTCTCTCTCTCTCTCTCTCTCTCTCTCTCTCTCTCTCTCTCCTCTCTCTCTCTCTCTCTCTCCCTCTTTCTCTCTCTCTCCTCTCTCTCTCTCTCTCTCTCTCTCTCTCTCTCTCTCTCTCCTCTCTTCTCTCTCTCTCTCCCTCTCTTCTCTCTCTCTCTCTTTCTCTCTCTCTCTCTCTCTCTCTCTCTCTCTCTCTCTCTCTCTCTCTCTCTCTCTCTCTCTCTCTCTCTCTCTCTCTCTCTCTCTCTCTCTCTCTCTCTCTCTCTCTCTCTCTCTCTCCTTCTTCTCTCTTCTCTCTCTTTATTCCCTCTTCTCTCTCTCTCTCTCTCCTCTCTCTCTCTCTCTCTCTCTCTCTCTCTCTCTCTCTCTCTCTCTCTCTCTCTCTCTCTCTCTCCCTCTTTCTCTCTCTCTCTCTCCCTCTCTCTCTCTCTCTCTCTCTCTCTCTCTCTCTCTCTCTCTCTCTCTCTCTCTCTCTCTCTCTCTCTCTCTCTCTCTCTCTCTCTCTCTCTCTCTCTCTCTCTCTCTCTCTCTCTCTCTCTCTCTCTCTCTCTCTCTCTCTCTCTCTCTCCCTCTCTCTCTCTCTCTCTCTCTCTCTCTCTCTTCTCTCTCTCTCTCCTCTTTCTCTCTCTCTCTCTCTCTCTCTCTCTCTCTCTCTCTCTCTCTCTCTCTCTCTCTCTCTCTCTCTCTCTCTCTCTCTCTCTCTCTCTCTCTCTCTCTCTCTCTCTCTCTCTCTCTCTCTCTCTCTCTCTCTCTCTCTCTTTTAAATTATTTTTCTCGCGAATAAGTTTAAGCTTGAAGAGCGTCCTCGCAGCAGTGTGTACTCCGCGACAGGTGCAACAATTAAAAACAATCGTGAGGAATATCGAGGTAGGAAACGATCTTTCCACATGAGAGCATTTCACCCGTTTCGCGGCGTGAGCCCGGAGTTGGGAGAGACAGGAAGCTCTCTTTGTTCAGCCATCGGCATCCTCCCCTCCTCCTCCTCCTCCTTCCCACACCCTCCCCGTCATCCTTCCTCTCCCCCCCCCCCCCCGATCTCCCCACCTAACTCCTTTTCTTCTGCTTCCCTGGCTCCCTCGCCTACTCTTGTGCATCTGTCTAATTCAGCTTGGTCCTCTTCCACCTTCATTCCGTAATTGATCCTCTCCCAGATTCTGTAATTCCGTAGCCCAGCTTTACGTGGGCAGCGATGTTTCTCACCACTCCTAAGCTCTGTTCTTTGTTCTTCTCGGGAATTGATAATACAAATACATTTCCTTTGCAAATGTTGATGTGTTCTCACAGGATGAATGTCCATTACTCACTCTAGGTTATGTTCACTCCCAGAATGAGTGTCATTGCTCGTTATTGACCTTGCTTAGTTCATGTTAACTTACAGGTTGAGTGGCACTGCCCAATATTGTTTGCGAGGTGGCACTGTCCTGCGTCCCAAGGGCGCTGGTTGGGGAGCTTTCCGATCGGTGTTGGGGACGTCTTTAATATTTCTGTTGTTGTTATTAATTGTGCTCTGAAGTGTTATTTTCTCGGCCCTCGACTGCAATTGGTCGAGCTTCTCTTACTCGCCCCCATCCCTTCCCTGCAGTATTGTGTTATGGCTCACCTGTTTCTTCTTGAAAGACTGGTTGGTTGATGTATACACCATGATGACTAACTGGTTGATGTGTTCACCTTGTTGACTGGTTGATGTGTACACCTTGTTGACTGGTTGGTTGATGTGCTTTTTAATTATTAAATGGCTGGTTGATGTACTAACTCTTTAATGTAGGAATATCTGCGGTAGCCTTATTTCGGATGCTTAATATTATTTATTATTATTTCTTTTACAAAACTAAGCCTAATTTATGATAGGCTAGGCATTTAGGTTCATTTGACAAAAGTCCAAAATGTACGTGGGTGAAGCATTTTTAAAAGTGCTCTTCGAACGTAAGTGAACAACTTTTCGGGAATTGCTTGACCGTAAAGAGTTATGTGCACTAAACATTTCCTCCAAAAAGAAGAGTAGCGTTGGAGAGGCTGCTACTGTACACAATTGTTTTTGACCCATTGTTTTGATGGCGGTTTGTGAAGACTCCATAAACGTCACAAGATCCAATTAATGCGGTCATAAAATGCGATACTTCTCGAACCAAACTCTCACAAGTCAAGCCTGGCCTCGGGCTGGGCTTGGGGAGTAGAACAACTACCAGAACCCCATCAAGCAGGTATCTTAGTACAGGCGAGGACCCTGTTGATTCAGAACGAAACGGAAAACAGAGTAAAGAGTGAACGGTTCAGACATGATAACGTATTCCAGTTTTCTATGGAAAATTTACCAAGTTGACGAAGAAGTAATGTTCAAAGCGATAAACATCACAATGAGGGAACATGAGGCACAAGGATGCGAGAAAGACCTTCAGTGCAAGAGTCGTAAATAAATGGAATGTATTAGAATAGCTGAAGCTGTCGATCCTAACTCAGTACGCAGTTTGAAATGTAAATATGATAAAAATAATCATAATTTATCTTGATAATAATAGAGAAACACCAAGAGAAGACTTTTTCAACACCGAGGCCAGCAGATAAATTTGTGAAGTTTTGATAATTACTTTGGCGTGTCAAGTGTATGGGAGGTGGAGACAGGTGTGTTGGGAAGGACACACGCTCTGTTTCCCCGCACCTGTTGTTGCCACGCCGCCACGACCACCCCACGCCCACACCTGGCGACCACACCCTCGGCCCTGCCTCTTGCGACCACACTTCCTATGTGCCATAATGTGGCCTGGATCCACATTATAGGGATCCAGGCCACATTATAGGGATAGGGATCCCATCCCTCTGCTCTTTCCCGGTATCGGGCAGCCTCTGAGCCTTCGAGCGTCGCCCCTCAACCAACATGTTATCTTACCTTTGTTGAGCTAGCAAATGACATCAGTGATAAATAAGATGTTTTGAAGGGCTTGCTGGGTCTTGTTTTCACAAGACCTCACCAAGTAGTAGTGCCGCTGCCCTTAACTGTTGAAAAAATGTTTGCTAAACGCTATACATTAACTCGGGAATAAAAAATCTAGTTAAAATCATAATATATGTGTAAGAGCCTGAGTATTCGTATTAAAAAATTTCCATATCTTCCATTCATTTAGTGTTTTAAATTTTATGTATGCTGTATGTTTTGTAGAATACTAATGTGTGCCGTCTTGATATCAGTGTTGGTATTCTGATGATGGCTCGTGTGAACTTGGGGTCATCCCTCCTCCCAAGATTATTTTCCCACCACTTGGACTGCATGGTAGAGCGACGGTCTCGCTTCATGCAGGTCGGCGTTCAATCCCCGACCGTCCAAGTGGTTGGGTACCATTCCTTTCCTCCTCGTCCCATCCCAAATCCTTATCCTGACCCCCCCCCCCCCTTCCCAGTGCTATATAGTAGTAATGGCTTGGCGATTTCCCAAGTTCCAGCCCCCTCTCCTGTGCCAGGTAAGTCAACAACGGGCTCACCATAGCTCGTGCTAATTGGAACTTTTTGTCCCAAGTAGCGAATCTACAACAACGCTTTCCCCCCCCCCCCCTGATAGTTCCCTTCCCACCCTTACCTTTCCATGTTCTGGCGCTAACTTCCATCTTCCTTCCTCGGCAGGTCACAGGCGCCGTTTTCTGTAGAGTATGAAGGTGCCACCGCTGAACTTGACTCCAGATATAAACCGTGTGGGAATGGCGCTACCGTTCAGTCCCGACCTGCTGTGGCGGTATCCACTGTCGCTGCCTCACTCCACGTCGCCCTCCTCCCCGATGCTCGACGTCAAGAATCAGATGCCCACACACCTCGGTGAGTCCTTTGCGGCCCTTCGCCACCAGGAGACACATCGTGAAAGGGGACTTTCGTTTGCGGTTAGGAAGGACTTCTTTATTTATACCAAGGATAGGTTCCTTTGTTGATAGCAAGGACTTCTTCATGTGTAGCTAGGAAGGATGTCTTCGTGTGTAGCTACGATGGACTTAGGCGCTTGCGGCTAGGAGGGACTTAGGCGCTTGCGGCTAGGAGGGACTTAGGCGCTTGCGGCTAGGAGGGACTTAGGCGCTTGCGGCTAGGAAGGACTTAGGCGCTTGCGGCTAGGAGGGACTTAGGCGCTTGCGGCTAGGAGGGACTTAGGCGCTTGCGGCTAGGAGGGACTTCATTCTTACAGTGCGACATTTGCGAATTAGTCAATTGTTGCCCGTTTTTCTTAGCTACAAATTGTGAGTGAAAAATTATGGTATTGGGCTGTTATTTGTTTATTTTTAACCTTATATGTGTAGTCCGTTTTCGTTATGGATAAGTGAACAATATGCTATATAAAATGATGAATTCCTGTCATTTTGGTTAGTAATGTGGGACCTCAGCCTCTTGACTTTAAAGTTCATGGCGACTTCAACTCAATGAGACAGTGATCATTAATTCGAATGAACAACTTGTCTATTTTTGAAATATAATTAATTAGTAAAGACCAAAACATAGCTTTTATCTTTTGAGAATAATTATAAGACTTTGTTCTTCATAGCTCAGGAATTTATATTTTAATATCTGTTGATTTTTACCTATAGTTTATAGTGATTTGTATCTATCATATAATTTGTGTAACGTTTAGTAATTATAGCTTTGTATACTGTATTGTAACTATAAATATTAGTTACTGGAGAAAGCATATGCAACTTGATTTGCTTCATTCAATGAGGTAACCAAGTAAGCAGAACCCTGAAGAACTCAGTGTTCATCACCACTGAAGAATTCAGTGTTCATCACCACTAGGATTGCAGCATAAAAGCTTGATAGGTCTATTGTGCTTTATACCTAACAAAAAATCTGTTAGGATAGGTTTATTTTAGTAGACCAATTTCTCCCACAAATTAAAATAAAATAAAATATTATGTAAATAACACAGCAGTGAAGGAAAAATTTAGCCTCTAATAATATACTAACCCATCATAATAGAGCATCATATTTTGACATACTTTACCCAAGGCCAAAAATCATCGTACTAGATGATGATAGCGGCTCGCAAAATTGACATACTGTCTGGTTTTCTGTTTTGGGTCCTCTAGTAGTTTAGGATAGGGAACTTTAGTACAACAGTTTCTTGATGTTGGGAAACCTTAGGAGGATGGGCTGAATATACTGTACAATACTTGCAATAAATGTTATGAAGGACATCTGGTTATATAAGTACCTAAGTATACAGATAAGTTTAATATCTTGAATGATTTGTAACATTCTAGTGACCAAACCATGATCAGTTTAATAGATTTAATAGATTTAGTCTCCGTGGTGTAGTGGTAAGACACAAGCCTGGCGTTCCGCGAGCGCTATGTCATGGGTTCGTATCCTGGCCGGGGAGGATTTACTGGGCGCAATTCCTTAACTGTAGCCTCTGTTTAACGCAACAGTAAAATGTGTACTTGGATGAAAAAACGATTCTTCGCGGCAGGGGATCGTATTCCAGGGACCTGCCCGAAACGCTACGCGTACTAGTGGCTGTACAAGAATGTAAGAACTCTTGTATATATCTCAAAAAAAAAAAAAGATAAGTTAGGCATATTTCATTATGCATCTTTAGGTAGTCTGGAGTTTGTTTTGGTACTATTGTAGTTGCAAGGGATAAACAAATTTATAAACTGAAATAGCATTTACAATATTGGCAACCTGTTGTTATATTTCAGGGTATTTTCATATTGGGAGCTTTTCAGGGTATTTTAGGAGCTGCCTCGTGTGGGCCAATAGGCCTTCTGCAGTTACCTTCATTCTTGTGTATATTTTTTCACATGCTGCAACTTTAATTTGCTTAAGATATGTTTCTAATCAGTGTGGTGTGATGTCATTGTAATATTTGTCTTATCTTTTACAGCTGCAGATCCACGGATGTGGTCCCGTGATGATGTGACAGCATTTCTTCGCTGGTTTGAGAGAGAGTTTGAACTGCCAACCATTGATCTATCCAAATTTTGCATGAATGGTAAGTCGTCTATCATTTGTCATCTGCATGACTTGAAGTCGAGAATTAATACTGTAGTCTACTCATTTACTAGAATTTAATATACTGTATATTATTGCATTTAGAAAAATGGATACTTGTGAATTACACATATTGATATTAAATTAATCCATGGAATATCTTAATAGGAAAAGATTACTAATGAATAGTGTTTTACTCTTGCAGGAAAGGCATTATGCATGCTGACAAAATCAGATCTGGCAGATCGTGCTCCAGGGGCTGGGGACATACTGCACAACACACTTCAGTTTCTCCTACGTGATGCCCCACAGGTGCCTCAGTCCCCTCTCACGCCTCACCATCCACTGCTTTCACCATCACCTCTCACCACTTCACCTGGACAGCCATGGTCCATAATGAACCATGATATCCATAACTTCAGCCACTTGTTGCACCAGGGTGGTTCTGTCACTTTAAGTCCTGCATCATCAGAGCAGAGTGGAGGATCTCCTCGCCATCCTGACACAGCCTCTTCTACCTCCTCTACCTCCACAGCAGCCTACCACCATTCCTCTGCTGCCTCCACAGGTTCTGCTCATTCTGGCAGTCAATCAGATTCAGAGGATTCAACACGAGATTCTTCATCGCCTCAGCGATCACCCCTGCCACCAAATAATGTAACTGCTGTGTCATTCCCTGCTCATGCCTTGGCTTCCCTTAAACACCTTACTGACTGTCAACGTGCTGCTGCCGCTGCTGCAGCTACAGCTGCTGCATCCCAAAATATTAACTCACACCAGGATAGTCTGCAACAGCATCAACACACACATCAGCTTCAACACCAACATCAACACCAACACCAGTCACAGCCACCATCACTACAATCTCAGGGCCTTTTAGGACCAAATGAAGAGCCAATAGAGACTGGAACCAATGGTCGCCTTTTGTGGGATTTCTTACAGCAGTTGTTGAATGACCCGCAACAGCGATACTCTCGCTATATTGCATGGAAGATTCGCGACACTGGGGTATTCAAAATTGTTGATCCACCAGGATTGGCGCGACTCTGGGGAATACAGAAAAACCACCTGAGCATGAACTATGACAAAATGTCTCGTGCTCTACGTTATTACTACCGTGTAAATATTCTCCGTAAGGTGCAGGGCGAAAGACATTGTTACCAGTTCCTTCGCAACCCCTCAGAATTGAAAAGTATCAAGAATATCAGTATGTTGCGTACAACACCTCTGCAGTCTCCACGCTCCAAGGATGCTCCTACTGTTGTGCAGCCTGCACCAATGGAAGAGGAGGAGGGCCCCACAGATCTCTCAATGTCATCAATTCATCATCAGTACCATGCCACTCCACCTGCTCCCATGGAAACCCAACCCCAGAATTTAACTTTAGAGCCTCACAACCTCTCTATAGTAATAAAGAGTGAAGAGTATCTGGAACATAGCTATGAATAACTGCCCAACTACAAGATAATTGGTCTTGTGTGACCAGCCCAACCTGACCTAACTTGATGCTGTCATGACGGGTTGCCCCTGCCATAAAGCGCAGGGTCAGGTCTGCTGCCCTCGGCCCGTGCACCCCACTTTCTGTTGCTACTGTGAAAGTAGTTTCACTGGTGGTGGTGGTGGTACTGGGCTGTAGTGGCTGTGAGGGTGATGCAAATGCATCACTCAGGGCATTGGTGGAGCTTGGTCATTTTATGGCACACTGTAGTGCTGTGAGACCACTCAGGGTGGCTGCCCTATTCAAGAAAAGGGTTGATGGCTACCGGCTCCGTGCCTTGCTCAGGCGGGTAGATTGGTGAGAGCTCCAAGTGGCACTATCCCTATCTACTCGCTGCCTACACTGTGGCTTGCTGTGATAACAGATGTACACTCCCTCTTTTAAATCCTAAACTCCAGGCTAGAACTCAGTCTAACTGCCATTCAACTCCCCACATGTACAAAGGCATCTAAGCTGTAAGATTTTGTCCAGTAGTGTTTATATCATTAACACACTGGCATCTTCTCTTTGGTGTGTGCCGGGCACGAGGATGGAGCATGATCTCGGCTCTCTTGGGGCTGGAACTTCTCGACTGTACAGTACCTGGCGTGCATGGTGTACATGGTATGTATGTAGTATCACCTTCTCTCATTGCTCTTGTGATATACCACCATTCCAAACTCAATATAGGCTTGATATTTCAAGCAAGTATGCATGTCATTAGATTGGCTGGGACTTTCACTCTTATTCTCCCAGAGAATAGGTGTGAAGGTCTTTGGCTACTATTGAGAAGAAAAAATTGCCAGATATAACTATAAGTGCGCCCGTCCCGTGCCGACCACTTTCCTGGAGATATGTGTAGACTTCATGTGTTAATGTGATTTCCGTCTTTCAATCAATTGATCACTTATAATTTTTACGTGTTTTTAGAAAACCAAATTTACAAATTGTACACCTCACATGTTCTTTACTACACTGTATGCATATAGATATATATTATAACTGTATAAAGTTGTATTTATAAAATAAACTTGTTTTGTACATGCAAAGTGTCTTTAAGGGCCTTTTTTATAGACCTTTTATATTTTCATGTTTGGCATTTAAGGATATACAGTATAAATATTTAAAATAATTGATTTCATTCTCCTCTTTGAAATGTGTATTCTGCCTGATGATGCTTTATCCATGTTACCAATCCATCTTCCTTGAAGGGGTTGACCCATGTAGTCTTCCTTAACGGGAAAGGGGGAGGGGGGACACATGTTGTATTCAATAAGGGGTTGTCCCACATATTCTTCCTTGATGGATTTGTCTCATGTTGTCTTTCTCGAGGTATTAAAAACAAACCAAAATACAGCTATCATATACAGGTATGTAGATTTTGCCAAAAAAAAAAGGAGACATATAATGTAATATATGAAAGATACTGGAATGCCATGATACCAAATTTGCACAGTAAAATAACATACTGGAGCAAACTATATGGTAGGAAATGCAGAATAGAATTGGTGAAGAGCCGAGGTGTCACACAATCTGATAATATTGTGTAGACATCACAGGTCCACTACTACTATTTTATCAAGAAATGTTGCTGGAGCATAAGTAGACGTGTTTAAGCAACAATTAGACAAGATTGATTGATTAAGAGCAAGCCAACCAGGAGATGGCACGGGCATGAATAGCTCATAAATTGGACAAGTTCTTGCACCAACCATGCAGGTTGTAGTGGATATGTGGGCCTGTGGGTTGCTGCATGCAAGTTTGTTGAACAAAGTCATCACAGTTCTAGTCTGGCCCCAGCTGTGTTTGGTAAGTTAAAGAACTTCCAGAATTCAGCCCAGGTAGTATTTAGTGATAAGTAAGCTGTGCATTGAGGCCAGTGTAGCATCTCAAGACCTCAGGCACGGATGGTTTTCAAGTTTTGATTTAGGAAAGTAATGCTGTAATCATTCTTTACAGTTCATTAATATCCTATTCTGGATTATTTTAGTTTTGGATATCATATAAAAAGAGGATATAGACAAATTGGAAGGTGTTCATTACCGAACTATACTTTAGAGGTGCAGGATTATATAAAAAAAAAAGTGATGCAACAAACTACAGACCTATAGTCTCGGTACTATACTACAGTACCGAGACTTAGAAATAACCATATGAAACCTATATTTCATTAATAATGTACAATATTCATAAAAAAAGGCAAGCATAACCTATATCAAACAAATGCTTTACAAATTATTTAACATTTAAAAAGACAAGCAATTCAATCCCTGATGGTGTAAATAAATAATATAAAATAAAAATTCCATCGTGAATGTGTAGATGTCACCTTGGATGTTAACATTTTAAGGGTGGGGCAAAATATGACAATGACTTTGGAGGTAGTAATTCACGAGAATAATTGAGAAATTATTATACAACAAAATTCAAAAGGAAGGGGGTGGTAGGAGAAAAGCATAAAGAAACTGTATTGTAGGGGACCTAAACATTCCCTCCAATGCGTTGTGTGTGGTTTTCTCTGAGGCTAAGGGTCCCCTTCTTCCAGCCAGAGATGGTACTCCCTATTATTTAAACAAAAATTCAATGTATAATTAAGGTATAGATTAGGTATCTCATAACACTTCTCATAGTGTAAGTGGTGTATCTCATAACACTTATCAACAGTATCTTACACAACTTGTGTTAGGAGTCACTCTTGGCTCAGTCCCTTAAGCTTCATGGTCCCTATTGGCATGATTTTTTGGCCACCTAGGCTTTAGGAATTTACTGTGATTAATCACATCTTCTATTACCTTAAGGTTCTCCCTTTTGAGCTGAATTAGGTCCAAAGGACTTTTACCACTAACAATGGGTGGTTGTCTGGAAACTTTGCCTTTTAGGAATCGGGGTCTTTACTTGCTTCAATGATTGTCTTGTTTGGGCTTCCAGAGATAATGTGTTGGCAGCATTGGGTAAGTTTGACTTTGTGATGATTAACATGCCTTGGTGCTTAATTGTAGCTTTTGCAGCATTTTATCTAACTGGAGCTGGTTTGGGACACCAATGCAGCCTCCCTTTTCAATTTTGAACTGCATTCCTGTTTGATTCCCATTGATAGATTTGTCTGGGAAGAGCCTCCTCTTTCATTTGGATTTAAAAAATCCTTCTGGACCAGCACAACTTTGCTTGCATAGTTTATCACTTGGGTCACTTCTGACTGAAAGTTGTTAACAGGTTTCTCCAGGTTTATGCTTGTTTCTGGGTTAGATATTGCTGCTTCCAGGCTCCTATGACCTTGAAGGATTCCTTATTTGGAGGTTTGCAGGCTTGGGTTTCTTAGAGGCCTCTGGCCCTGTCTATGAAGCTGTTACACATTTGGCATGGGCTTTGACTTTGTCTTCAGCCTTCAAAACACCATGCAAGGGACTGTGCCCTCTTCAGAGTGTCCATATCATGACTATGCAAGTGTTGACCTGTGCTCCTGCCCGGCAGTAGTCAATCACATCATGATTAGGGTGTTTACTGTACATCTATGATTGCATTGCTCCATATGGTACTTAATTTGGTGATGAATGCACTTGAATTCTTTGTGAAGCATTTCATTGTTTTTGTTCTTTTTTTGGTTTCTGAACATAAAATTTCTTATTATATATCGCACCATGATTCTCTGAAAGCGTTTCAGAGGTCATCATTTGTGAAAAAGCAAGGCTATTGCATGAAGATCTTATAAGGAAAGCCCCTGAAACGAGTGATGTAGATATGAAAGCATTTAAGGTGAGCAGGGGATGGTTTGAGAAATTTACAAAAAGAATTGGTTTTCATAGTGTTATGAGACAACACAAATGTTTATAGACAGATTCTTAGTAAGACAAGGAAGCAGAGAGCCACAACCAGTTCCTAGTGGTACACCTGCAAAACGTAGGAGAGAGTAGTGTACCCCAGAAATGGCATCACTGCCTGATGTTATGGAAGGGTACTTCCCTTCCAAACACTGACACTTCTATCTTTCCCCCCCCCCCACCCCCTGCTCCTCAACATCTATTAATATATGCCAACAAGAGTCTTTAATAATGGTAAGATATACTGTACTGTAGTACAAAATATGATTAGTATTATATATAAAATGTAATATAAAGTTTATATTTTTGGGAATATGGAACAGATTAATTCAATTTACATTGCTTCTTATGGGAAAAATAGTTTTAGTTTATGAATTTTCGGTTGACGAATCATCTCTAGGAATGGATTAAATTCATAAACGAAGGTTCCACTGTATATATACAGTATTTATTCTATTTGTTTATAATGTATGTTCAGCTGACTAACTCTTTTGGTGTTGGGAAATAATATAAAACATTTAAACACTTTTTATTTTCCCATGAAAATGGCCACAATAATTTACTAGCATTCTAAGTTTGTTAACATTTTGTTGCAAGAATTGTCGTGATAAATTAATGACTAATTCCGATTTTAACATAAAAAGTGCTTTAAGTCGGTTAATATACCCCCAATAAACCGAGACAAAACCCTTTACAGCATGGTATGAGATCAACAGTAGTTTGACAAGGACCTTATCATGCCAGCCGAGAGTGTTGTTAAAACAACCCTGGCTGTGCACATTTGTACTCCCGTCCTCTCACTTTCCACCAAACTGGAAGACACATGTAAGAGATCTACAACCATTTTGTTCTGCAAGCCTGAGAGCCTATGAAGAATGCTCAAAAATATAATCTGTACTCGGCCACGTACAGTTATGGATTATGGATTATTATGAGAAAGAACAATTGAATGCAATTTTTTTTGCACAGTACGACCTTGAACACAGGTACATTTGTAAAGCAGCAGCAAATTCAATCCTACATTCATAAACTAATTCTAATACATTAAACTATAGTATACTTAAATTTCATGAGGAACATAATTACAAAAATATAAAGCAAATACAAAATAAAATGCAAAGAACTGATATGCTCTTTTTTTGAGTGGTCACTTGGCTGCTGCTGTAGCCAGTGTCTGGGTCCACACCTGACTCTAGTTGACATTTAACCCCACCATGATGAATAACTTTGCAAATGACCTTGTCACCAAATTTAGAGATGGGGGGGGGGCAGTGGTGTGCACTTCATTCCATAACCAAGAAAGACTGTGCTATCTCCCTGCCCCTTATCAAGTTGCAAAGATAATTTGGAAAGCTATTTATCATTATCACAGTGGGGCTAGATGTCAACTCGAGCCTGCTATGTAAACAGCATCCTCGTTGCACCCAGATACTGGCTAGGAAAACAACAGAGGAAACCTTGCTCAGAAAATAATATATTTCTTAGATTTGTATAATAAATATTTTTACTAACTTAAGGAAGACAATCACAGAACAAATGCTCCCTAATTGAGTTTACTTTATACAGTAATTGAATGCAAATGCAAGTAGAGGGATTTCTATTACAATGGTGCAGCAACTTTGACTGAAATAGCTGTGCTTCATGCAGTAATAGAGAGCACCAAATATAGTAAATCAGGAGACGCCATGAGGAGGATTCAAACTCGCTCACTTGATACTCCCAAACAAACGCCCTAGACCACTACACCACAACATGGAAAAAGCAATGCAACCTGCATTCTGCACTGAATCCTCTAGGGGGTCCTGAGGCTTCCAACTGAAGCCCAATCAGGGTTACACACATTGCCCCCCCCTCCCTGTGCACTTTGGTTTATGGTCTAGTAGTTTTACCTCCAATGAGTCTTGTCAAATGGACAATGAAATCACATTAACATGACGTATCGGTGAGATAATCAAGAGGAGCCATGAGGAGGATTTGAACCCTCTCACTTGGTACTCCCAAGCAAACACCCTAGACCACTTCACCACTACATGGTAAAAGCAATATAACCTGGGATTCCACCAAATCCTCGAGGGGTCCTGAGGCTTACAACTGAAGCTCTATCAGGGTTTCAAGCATTGCCCTCATGGAGGTAGAACTACCAGACTTATGGTCTAGTAGTTCTACCTCCAACATGTCTTGTCAAATGCACAATGAAATCACATTAACGTGATGTGTAAATGAGAAAATCGGTAGGAGCCGTGAGGATTCAGGGATTTGGTGGAATCCCAAGTTACATTGCTTTTACCATGTCTTGGTGTAGTGATCTAGGGCGTGTGCTTGGGAGTACCCAGTGTGTAGGTTCTAATCCTCCTCATGACTCCTACTGATTTTCTCACTGATATATTACATTACGTTAATGTGATTTCTTTGTGCGCCAAATATAGTATTCACTAAATATACAAGTGTGTTTGACAAATGAGTAAGGAAATATCCAGAACACCAGTCCAGAAATCCTATGCAAAATATTAATATATATTCATTAAGAATAAGCTTAGAAAAAAATTACTCCATTATAAAAAACTAGCATTCTGTGTATGAAAATGATTACAGTATAAGCCTTTACATATACTGGTATTAGTACTGTACTTAATTAAAAATACTGTACTCATTTAGTGAGTGGAAAATACCTCATTTAATAAATATTTAGATCCTGGGTGCACATGCATAGATAATGTACCCACACTGTGATGAATAACCCAGGTGAAATTTTTGAAATTTAAATGCCATATGAATATATTAAGTAAATATCTCTAAAATACAGTACAAAAAATATAATGTATTTAGCCAAGTTCACTGTATCACCCATATACGAGACAGATCTTTCAATTCGTTGTAATATAAGGTTACCGGAAAGGTAACCAGCTTGAGAAAGCCAAGTCAAATGCTTACACATAGTGAAGCTATTATTCATGAAGGTATCTCGTAACAATTGGCACATTTGAGACCATACAAGAAAAATGATGCGGTATCTTGGCACATCAAAACTATTACACATTTGTTTCACGGTGCAAGATTAATGCACCAGGACTTCAATACAAAATAAAACTGCCTTGTAATCAAATGACAAGAAATATAAATTATCATGCCGACAATTGTTCCACAGCAAAATCTGTTACGGCATATGCTAGACTGTTAGCTTTTCTGATGAGCAAGTTTGTGTGCGAGATAATAAAATTGTTCGCCTCTTAATGACTTAACTAAATAGTAATTCACAATCTTCAACTGTGATCGCAAGACATTTCAGAACAGTTTCCCCATCATAGTCACATTGTCAATATATTTTGTTCAATCTCCTACTGTCCCAAGACAAACTCACAGTACAGTAAAGCTACTATTCAGTACTTGCTGTGCATTATTACTCTGAAGCAAGAGTACTATACAGTGTAGCCTTAAAAATTAGGAACACAATGTTGCAGAAATATTAATAAAATGCGGGACAGCTTTTGCCATGGGAGAAAATAGGGAAAAATTAGGAAAAGTATCTACTGTAAATGTAAATTAATTTTCAACACTTGTACGAATAATCCAGAATAAATTGGCATCAATAATATTCACTGACCACATTTTCTGTGGGGAGGCCTGTCGGCTCCCTGAAGCTATCCGAACTGATATAGTGCTTTATTACTTTGGAGTCATCAGTCACAGTCCTCCTTTGCCTACCAGGGACCACGAGCCACAACCTGGCCCCCTCAGAGAGGTGCAGGGAGCAATGTTCTATGAACACTTTACATTTAAAATACGTCATATTTTGCCATCGACCCGGAAAGGCACATAGAAAGATGGAAAATAAACTACAGTCTGATGAAAATTGCCACCTATGTCCAGAAAGAGCAAAGAAACTCCCCCAGGAAAGAAAGCAAACCAGCAACACTTCAATCAATTAGCACTCCCACTCCTTAATGGCTCCCCCTCCACCCCCTCCCCCCCAAGGGGGGAAGGGGGAGCCAGCCGAGGTGAACTAGCAGCCAATCACAACAGTTTTTGAACACTGAAAAATTGTCGACCGGAGGGAGGGAGGGAGGCCAGAAAATGGCATTTCATTACATTCAACGCTGGATTTCTGTGGGGAGCCCCATCGGCTCCATGAAGAAAAGAAAAGGAAAAAAAGGGACTTGCCTGAGAGGCGGCAGCACCGCAGGTCTCAAGCTGAGAAAGAAACAGACGGCTGTGACAGACCCCCCAAAGCATCACAGGGCTGGACAGGGCCCAGAACATGCACGAGACATCTGGCAGCCAAGACCCCTGTTCGACCTCCAAGCCAGTGTCTTTTATAAAAGAGATCAAAGATCACATGTACCCAAAGACAGCCACATGAGCAGCACACTTCCTAGCATCATGGGCACGAGGGTAGACCACAGGCTGGCTAGACTTAATGACACTGCGGACATCCTGAGACACACGAGCCCTGGAACAGGAAACCAGGGAAACCGGATCCACCCAAAGCGCATCCACCGTCACAAAATCAGCAGCCCGCTGGTTGTGACATAGAGCTGCCACTGGACACAGCACATGATGCACCCCCGTCCGAACCAACAAATCATCCACAACCAACAGACCCCTCCAGAAGCCTGCCATCTCGACGTTCGCCAGAAAAGGCCATAAATGAACAAAATTACCCTCAGGATGCCAACCTGGCCAGGACTCAAGAGCAACAGCAGGACCAGGGAAATCATCTCAACCAATCTAGGTGAAATGCATCCACCGCTTGAGCAGCTGTTGAGCAACACCAACAGACGGCTGTGCTGCAGCTGTATCAAGGCCAGTGGAGGAAGGGAAAGCGAAGCCAACAGAGAACTCCACGCAAGGCCCTACCAAGTTTGAACCTGGGATGGAACCAACTGGGACTTCCCCCAGTTCACCAGGACCTTGAACCCTGCAAGCTGCAAAAGAACCAGATCCCTGACCAGCAGACATGTGGATTGGCTGGGAGCCCACACCAGCCAGTGGTCAAGGTAGGCCAAAACCCTGAACCCTGGTAAAGTAAAAAATCACAATAACCCAAGCCAAACTAGTGAATACGCATGTAGCCATACTGAGCTTAAACCTTGAACGTACTGTATAGGGATATGCCAATTCACAACCTAGAGGTCCAGGGAGATCATCCAAGTGTCTTATTCGAGTATGAGACAGATCTGGGACAAAGTGGTCATCTGGAATAGGGAACGGGATGAACCGGTTCAACCACAAAAAGTCGAGGATGAACCGGATTCTGGCGATTCCCGTCTTGGGAATGGAAAAAAAGGTGAGAAACAAACTGAAGCGATGCAGTCATTTCAATCATGTCGGAAGCCACTTAAAGACTTAGACTGGAAGACGTAAAGACCCCCAACACACCCTCGCTTGTGGTGGTCTTCACCTTGGGAAGTCCTCTAACGGGGAGCAATTCCCGAATGCACCAGGGAAGACAACCCTAGTCTCCAAGGAGTGCCGGACCAACGGGGCTGTGGTGGGTATGTGGGCCTGCAGGTCACTCCAAGCAACAGCCTAGTGGACCAAACTCTCACAAGTCAAGCCTGGCCTCGGGCCAGGCTTGGGGATTGGAAGAACTCCCAGAACCCCATCAACCAGGTATCACGCAAGGGTAGTACTGTACTTTGGAGCACCTAGGGAAGATGACCCGAGAGGCATACAGCTCCAGTACTCGAAACTCTTGGCTCACACACATCCATATATATAAATACTGACGTAAGGGTAAAAACACCACTGAAAATGGGAACACTGAGCCAGAGCGACTGCGATCACTTTGCATGCTACATCAGTCAAGAGTTAGCTGGTGGCGGCCCAGCTCTCCCTTCCCTCCAATAGGGGGAAGGAAGGGAGAGCTGGAGGTAACAAGCAGAGGCGGCTAGTTGGTTGAAGTTTTGCTTGTTTGTATTCTTTGCGGGGGAGTTCTTTTGATAATTTGAGGGCATAGGCTGCATTTGTCAACCAGGCAGTACATGTAGTCTGTTTTGATTCGCCTACCTTTCTGGGTGTCTTCCTTGGTCGACGGCAAGATAAACTTCAAATGTAAAGTGTTCATGAACCATTGCTCCCTGCACCTCTCTGAGGGAGCCAGGTTCTGGCTCGTGGTTCCCGGTAGGCATACAAGAACTCAGCAACTGATGAAACTTTTAAGTAGTATGGCACTTGATCAGCAAGATGCTTCAGGGAACTAACAGGGTTCCCCACAGATAAAGTGATTTTCAGGAATTTCAAGATGGACGCTACGTTTTAGTATCATCGGAACATTTACTGTCGGAGAACGAATGATGTGTTTTGCGTCACTGGAATGCTGTAGTGTTAATATGGCCAAAAATGTTCGATAAATTAAAAAAATTATCAAGGTTTGGTACCGAGGAGGCCACCATCTTGAGAGTGGTGGCATTACCACTTTTTCTAAAATTAAAAAAAAATATTAAGCACTGTATAAACCTACCGGTAATTACCAGTAGAAAAGTTATTATGGCAAAGAAAATTATAACAAAAAAATGCTCATTACTGTACTGTAGTTTGAATTTTTATCAAGTTAGATCAAGAAAATATAAAAATTTTAGTTTACACTAGAAAATTCCTTGTTGATACATTACTTGAGAGTGTAAACATGCAAAAAACCATCATATCTGTTATGAGAAACCCACAAACTTTCATGATTAAAAAAAGCTGAATTTTGCAAAATCTGGAATTTGTTTTTTTCACAAATCTAGGATACAGAACAAAATGGTAAAGATTTAGACAACACTATACTATTAGAACAAATTCAATTCTTTGATCCAAAACAAAATTAATTGTTCATGATGGTTTATGCTGCAATATTTTTTTACTCAAGGAATACACAATGTTAAAATTTTGGAATATGGAGATTACACAGCTACCACCTGCTTTATTGGAGAGCTATGTCACTGTTGTGTTTTCGGTTTATGTCATCCACAAACTCCCTCTTCAGGATTTTTACACACCTGCAAAAGGCAATGACATTTGTTAAAAGGTATGTACCTGTACTTGAATTTCGGAAGCATTTATTAAGGGACAGCAATGCAAAACTTTAATAAAAATCTGGTAATTAACACTTTGTGCAGATCAGGACTCCACCCCGGAGTCCTGTTTCGCCTACCCGCTTCCGCGATGTGGACATAAAATGATGTCCTGAAAAAAATATTTGTATAAAATTCAATTTTAATCCGATTTACTTTGGGTTTGTTTCAAACTGCGCGCCATGAGGCTCTCTTTCTCATCACTAGGCTGCATGGTACAATAAGTTCATGAAAGGTGTGGACCACTTCGATCAAATGGTATTACCATTTTACCAGGAAAACTCACAAGTGGACCTAAAAGATAACGTTTTATTTCCTGCAAATGGCTTTGCATAATGCCTTTGTTTTGTACAAATACAACACAACTGATCAAAAAAAGCTAACATTGCTACAGTTCCACGAGGTGGCAAATTGGGCCCAATTGTGCTGGGACCTGGAAGATTGGCCTCAAACAGCAACAGTATCTCAACACTTGTGTCTCAAAAATAACTGTGTGCAACAAGTATAAACTTGACAAACATAACAAAAGTAAAAACATTTTGTGTGTGTTTGACGCTCACTGATATGTTCCAGCATTGTTTTATATTTGGCGTTATTCTATCTTACGCTTTGTTGATCTTTTTTACATACGGGCTCATAGAACATTCTATTGCGAACACATTGACACAAAAATGAATGACGTACATAGAATAATAATGTCAGGAAAGTGAAATAAGTATAAACTTTCAAAGCGCCGTATCGCACATGTGTCGTCCTGTCACCGATACCGGGTAACAATTTCACCACTTCCCACACTCTTGTGGGTGGGCCGCGATCATTATTCTACGTTTATATTCATATCACCGTGTTGGGAATTTCATTGCGAGTCCATTGATACCAAAATTAACGCTGTAGGACAAGTGTGGAGGTGATAACAATCCCAAGAGTAAAAACATTTTGTTGCTGTTGGGCGCTCACAGCGAGTCATCTTCGTAGTTATTTATTTGGTGCTGGTATCCCTATACGTTTCGTGACTTTTTTTCACTGATGTTCTTCTAGAGAATTTTATTGCGAACACGTTGGTATCAAAATGAAATACGTAGCTCAAGAACTAAGGTCAGGAGAGTAAAAAGAGTATACACATTTTTGTTTTTACGCTTAAGCGACAAAAACGCCGCGCGCACATACCGCTTTTTTTTTTTACCTTCGCCGGGCGTGCGAAAGTGTTAAAGATTTAGAAAACCATGCTCACGATCATACATCATATTGTTTTCATGATTCAAACTGGCAGCCACAAATAAAAAAAATCAAATAAAAAGTAGTAGCGACACAAATAAGATGTTTTTTATCCGAGTCAGTCTCTTGGTTGCTTCCTTAAGCCTTATATGGGTTCCCTGACACAAATTTTGCCTACCAGGCTCTAATGACCTCTCTGCTCTGTAAAGTCCCAATCCCATCTCTCTACTCCAGACTGAGGTGAAGGTCTAACTGCAACAGGGCCAACTATTGGAAGGAAGTGGGAGGCTGTTCTCACATACCAGACCCATTCCAACCAAATCCAAACCATGAGAGGGCATCAACTGGGGACTTTATCCAGTTGTCAATAAACTCAATCAGCCAACTGGTAAAGAATCCAATCTCTTGCTAGCAAACAAGCTGGCCACCGAGGAGGCCAGACTAACTAGTCATCGAAGTAGGGCAAATCTCTTATACCCCAACAGACATGGTCACTGATGGATCACCCGAGTCAGTCTGTTAAATGTTCAAGGTGCAAGGCTCAACCCTAACCAAGTGCCATAGCCAAAATGTTGAACAAAAAGTGGACCACTTGGAATCCCAGCCAATCCTTAATCCTCAAGTAGATGAAAACAAGGACAGCATCACTACAATGATACATACCCTTGCCCAACAAATCACAAATGACATTGCAGAGGAGCACAGTAGATGGCTAAGCATGTGTCCAAAATACCAGTGGAAAAGACCAACTACACTGAAGACCCTGCGACACTGCCTGTTAGGTCCAGCATCTTGGGGTCAAAGTGTGCTGAAAGACACTCAGATGTTCTCACCACACCACCACTGGGTTTTACCTTGACAGGGTTGGTGGGAAGAACTCCATCGACTGCCAGTTTGGGCTGAGTACTGGGAACACCCCAGCTGGGGATCAGAAGCCCGCCACGATGGAGCCGCATGGTTCTAGGAAACTGGAGGCCGACAACCCCTACCCAGTCCACAAGTCCGAGAAGCCAAAATTGTCTGGATGGCTGCCTGGATGCTAAAGTCAAGGGAAGAAACTGAGGCTAAAATATCTGCCTAAATGGCAATTGGTAACACATATGCAACCTCTCTATCAAGAAAAAGGAGAAGAGAAAACAGTCACAAACAAAAAGAAAAAAAAAAGTGATCAAGCAGATTCCTGCAGAGAATTAAGAACTACATGCTGGGAAGCCCAATGAAGTGCAAAAAATCTATCACCACATCCTGTGGGAGTAATGTTAATAGCTTGGGCACAACATCTGCCAGAGAAGTACAGACTACAAAGCAGCCTCTGCAGGTTCAATAATAAGGACCTATGACCCTTTACACAACAGCCAAGCAACCAACTCCTGCAAACAGAGGCACAGAGAACCTGTCAACAAATGTGCGCATTGCAGTCCACTGCCACTGGCGACACAAGACAACTTATTTTTAGACAATTTTAGACAAAGTACATATTTTGCCCTATTAGGCAAAAGGCACCTCAAAATAACCATTCTAAATAGGTTCTGGAAACAAAACAGGACAGTTCAAAATGAGCCAAAAGTAAAATGCACAGCACCCATGCTGGAACTCAAAAGGAGAAAATCACAAAAATAAAAAACATCAATTGGCTGCAATTTCAATGTGCAGGAAGGACCACATGCTGGCCAAAACCTAAATCCACAGAAGGATGCCAGGAAACTAATGGGCTGAAGATCCGGGCAAGGGGACTAAAAACCCAGGGCCCAGAACCCTGTAAATTAATCACTAGAACCAAGAACCACAAATCCTAGAAAGTACAGTACGAACATGGGACCGAGGCCCCCAGCTAAAAAGCATAGACCATCACCCAAAAACATGGGGCACCCAGCCCAGAAGATGCTATATATACACATTACATTTTCTTTGTACATTTTAATGATAAAGAGTTGATTTCTCAGCGAAGATCAAAATTATAGTTGTCACAGTCTCCCTTCACCAGCTACATTACCAGACTTTTGGAAGGTTACTGGTTATGTTGAGTGCACAGGTCATTAAAACCTGGCAGGCAGAATGTGTGTCTGGCTTATAAGAGCTACTTAGCTACAATAATAATAATAATAATAATAATAATAATAATAATAATAATAATAATACAAAAATCATAATTTCAATAAGTATTCTATGCAGACAAGCAAGCCCTTTCATCCAAATATTCTTAACTAGTATGCCTTCCATACTTGCAAATCAACTTATCTACACAGCCTATCATCCAACCTCCATCACAGTTCTCACCAAACCCTCTTGCAAGCACATATGTAAATACTATGCCTGTACAGTATGTACACAAAGGAAGCAATGAAGTGCTCACTTTATATCCCATATAATAAAAGAAATTACTTACCTCTTATATTGTGGTGATGTGCGAAATTTAGCAATATCAAGGCTAGGAGCATGTGGCATATGGATTATGAAGGCATTGGGAAGCACTATGAAGTCAAAACCCATCACATGTAGCTCCATAATGTGTGAAACCTGTTAAATTACCAGATGATTACCATTGATATTTGACTTAAGAAGGGAATATCTAAATAAAATGATAAACATCCAAGGTAGAGAATTCAATTGGAAAGCATATAATAAAAATAAAATCAAAACACATCAGAAAACTATTAAATTTCCCTCCATCAGTATATGAATGGAATAAATAGTTTATCAGTTAAATCTAAAACAGTAAAAGTAATAATAGGTACTGTATATAACTGAGATAGTAAAAGCACCTTTCTTAGGTCACTGTCTCATGGCCTCAAGTGAAAGAAAAATATGGCACTAGTACCATAAGAACTAGAAAGATATTACCATGGTCATATGTGGGGGGTTGGGAATTTCTGGAGAGGGTGTACTCCAACCAGAATAGACTGATGGTTAAACTGCCTGTTCACAGGCCAGAGTACATATTGACCTCCAAAGTAAACGCTGCTAATGACAAGCTTCGTCCACCTAACCATCACAAGGCAACAGCCCCTCCTCAACTCATGATCAATCTATTCACACCCTCCTCACATACACGCTGAAGTGGAGGAAGTGGCAGCAGCAGCAGAATATGCTCGGAAAGGTTTTCACGTGCTCAAAGCTTGTTTTGGGGCTGTCTTTCTGCCACTTCCATAGGTTAGCCTTCAACTGAACATGACAGTAAAAACATTATAAAAAAAAATGGGAGGTGGTCACCAATGCTGCCACAGTAGAGAAACTACACTGTGAAGCAGTGCAACTGGTCCACCTAATACTGCTCCTGGATGTTACCTTAATAGAATGCATCAGTAGATACATTCATGTAAGCCACACAACTGATGGCATAATAGCTTAAACAATTATTTAGCAGCAAAAGTTCTGTTGCACCTCAAGAAACATCTGACACAGACCTGGCCAAAATTCAAGCACTGATGAAAATGAAGTGCCCTCTTCTGGTGGGCCTTCAGTAAATTCCTGAACTGAGTGCTGGTCCTGCTAAGCCTTATGAAGATAAACCAGGCTTCTGAGAGCCACCCTTGCCACCTGCAAGCCACCATCAGAAACTTGCTCTTTCTTTGAGGCAAAGGGAGTTTGGCCACATTTAACAGATTACAAGATGTATGGCTGGTGTATCACAAAATCACTGAACTTCAGTCACTTAAGTTTTAACAATTGGTTCCTACTTGCTAAACTATCACAAATCACAATAAGGATGTTCGTGAGAGAATGAACTTGTAACAGCCACATTAGACATAATTTGGCAGCCACTTAAATTAGCCCCCCAAGCTATTCCACATTCCAAGAAATTCTATTACTGTACAAGCATTCAAGTTTCCAATAATCCCCATAATTGCTACTGACAACCTCAATCATATTCACTCATTATTAATGACGCTAATGTCAGTGTCATCCGAGCCATCTGCTCCCACCCTCGTTCGAGCTCTCATCTCTTGCCCCTCCAAGTTCTCCACCCCCCGGCCTTACTCAAGCTCTCTGCTCTTGGCTCCAAGTCTCTCACTAGCTCACCACTTCTACCCACCTTCAGCATTATGTCCTCCCGGACTTGGCCAGCAGCATGTAACAAGCATCCTTGTCTGAACCTATCATGACATCATACCATTTCTAACATTCAGTTGCTGTAACCAAACTATATTAAAAAAAATTATTATAATTCAGCTCACTGGCCAATTTACACCACACCTCAGGAAAGCTCATGTGAGGCTGGCCATATACTAAATTTTGCTCAAACATATCAAGCATTAATAACTATATAATAGCGCTTAAAATATTTGTGAAAGCTGGGCAGCTATCCGGTACATAATCAGATGATAATTGTTTTAAATTAAAAAAAAAACTTGAGGAAACAGGGGTTTTGTTGGCAAGCAAGAATAAACAAAGGAAAAAATATCCCACCTTATTCCATCCAAAACCCACGAAGCGAGTGTCATATTCAGGAACATCCTTACGGACTACAATGTAAGGCTCGAAGTCTTGTTCCCATGGAACCTGTTAAAAACATGAAAAAATTGAGTTAGGAATATTAAAACACTAAAGAGGCAGAGGTTGGTAACATGCTGTTTTTAGTGCCAATCTCAGGATTTCATTCTGCCAGTTAATTCCTTCTACGACTCATTCTATACTTTAATTTAGTTCGCCTGATCATCATACAAACTGCGATACACATGCATCAGAAATGCCAGACGCAAAACGTGAAGGAGTAAGTCAAACCAGCGAGGTACCAGCGAGGTCATCCAAAAGAAAGGCAAGGAATCAACCGGTTCAGACGAGACAAGTCCAGAATGTACCGGTGATCCGCAAAGTCCCATTTCGAAACTGAAAACAAGTGGGAAATCCACCCAAGACAAGGTCATTTTGACCACATGAGACCAGACCCGGGCAAAAAGAGTCAATCCACTCCCCCCCCCCCCCATCGCCCTGTCAATGAGGCGACCCTGTGAAAAGGTTGACGCAAACCCCGAGAAGCCGACCTCTGTACAGAACGAACCCTGTGCCGACCAGCCGAAGGCATCAGGAAGCCCACCAACTCAGAAACTGGCACCAGAGGTCTATCCCGACCAAACGAGGCCCGAGCCCTGACACGATTTTTCGAAGAAGGCCAGGAGCAACCCCCCCACGGAGAACCAACAAGTCTGAAATAGGCCGGCAACAGAAACTGAGCAACACAGTTCTCCGGGAACAACAGAGGACAATACAGTGAAGAAGACTGAATAGGCAGGGCCCAAGCCGAATCCATAGAAAGAGCTAGCACGGCCTGCCGACAAGCGAGACGAGAGGTGAAAAACACAGAAACCACTTCCTGGAGGATCGGCACAAACAACTTCAGCAAGGCAGACAACACTGAAGCAGTCGAGACCAACACCCCAGCTGAGGGTCCCTTACCCTGTACTCCCACATCTTCTGAAAGCCAATCTGAAGACAGCTCCAGAAGACTAAAGAAACACAAGACCAAGGCCAAATGACCTTGGTCTTGATCCGAAGGTCCTCAGCTGCCAAACAGCCGAAAGACTGGGAACCTGAGCATGCAGCTGCACCAGACTAACATCACGAGGAAGTGCAGAGGTGACTTCTTTGTCTTTATTACATGCAACAATTACTGCACATATGGTATCCCTATTACACATGCATACTTATCTTGCAGTTTTAATTTCTATATCAATGCTCTTGCTTCTTCTTGAGGATACTGTATATCTTAAGAGTCTTTTACCTTCTTTTCCAAAAATCATTCCAATTATATTCACATGTCCACTACTCTCATTAATATCATCCATCACTCATAAATATATTCATTGTACATCCTTACCTAAACATTTTTCTCACGTTACCATCTGTCTCCTCACTGTACTTTAACATTTAATATCTTCACAGTTTCTTAAAAACGTTTCCATTACCTTTCCAGTATGTCCTGCACTCCCTGTTTTAACGGCTGCACAAGGCTTGCCACATATCAGATCTCAACATGCAATACTTTATTTTTCTTTATTTACTTTCCATCTTACTTTGCAGCCACATAATCCACTTCTTTCTTTTGTAATCAAGCGATCTTTCTACTTTCACATCCTACCACGCAACTCTCAATCTTCTGCCACTTTTTACAACACAGCAAATTTTTTTACCAGTCTTTACTATGACATTTGTTGTATTTGCATCCCATCATTCAAACAAAGGCCCTTGATTGTAAAGAGCACAGTGTAGAAAGCACCGTAGTGAAACACCAAGACATGAGAAGCTCTTAATTTGTAAGTAACATTTCGCTTGTAAGGGCATTATCATATCTATCAAAGGATACAGGATCAGGTCACAGTGAGGTGAGAGACATAAGTGATTATGTATTACAATTTATAATTATGAGGTTGTAAAGTATTAATTCAGCATGGTGGAGAGCAATGTTAAATGATTTAACAATATACTACAAATTTTCAGATACGACTTAAAACACATACCTTATAAGGTGTAGTAGCAGTTCTCCACTTGGCAAAGTTAGTTGGTGCATGACCCTTTGTCCAAACATGATACCTATACAAACACAACAAAAAAACAGAGATGAGTAGGGATTACCTGGCTAAATTGAGCTACCAAAGGTTCAAAATAATATACACCTAACACTTTGGCGTGCCCCGCCCGCCACCCCTCAACTGTGCGATTAGGGTCCCAGAGCTTCACGGGCCAATTTCTTCACGCGCGTTAATTCTGGAAAGTGTATACTCTCTTCAACTTTGTCACCTTAATTCTCGTCTTACGAGATTAAATTTGGTATCATTGTGTTCGTAATAGAATTCTCTACAGCACTAAATGCATGTAAACTCCAAAAGCCCGGCTAATTACCCGCAGCAAACAGAGAAAGTGCGAACGAGTTACCCAGGAGCGCGCAAAAGCGATAAAATGTGTTCACTCTTTTCACTCTGGTCACTTCAATTTTCGTCCTAGGTCTTTCATTTTGGTATCAATGGGTTCGCAATAGAAATCTCTAGAGGAACATTAGCATATAAAATAAAAAACCTGGTCACGCTCCACCCGCCGACGAGTTGAAGACGGGCCACACGTTAACCACAAGTGAGCGCCCAGACGCCTTCCAGCTACACTCCCAATTCCTGCCCACAAATGTTTAGTATTTAGTATTTTAGTATATGTAGTATTATAGTTTAGTATTTTTTGTGTAGTAGTTGTACATCACATAAGCATTGTAGATAGCCATTTGCACAAAATAGATGGTCATTTTCTTCGTCCATTTGTGAGTTTTAATTATGAAGTGATAATATTTGATCATTTGGTCAAAGTGATCATCACCTTTCATGTTTGTATTGTAGTCACATATTGCATTCGGCTTGTTGACAGTTACCAAACAATCCCCCAAAAATCAGATAAAAACCTGATTTTTGGCAATTATTTTAGTGGATGACGCAATGCTGCGTCATCCCCGAGATTACCGACAGTAAACGGATGACGCAATGCTGTGTCATGCCCGGGCGAAAGTGTTAACAACATTAGGTAACAATCATATAAGGAACATAATGAGCCTATAGCCAACTATGTGCCAGAGCCTTCATGTGATCAGTTGATATGATATCCTGTGTATCAACTTGTTGAGCGAACAAGTTCCAGATGCGAGTCAGCCCTCTTTCTCTCCCTCTCTTTTTCTCTCCATCTCTCTTTCTCTCCCTCTCTCTTTCTCTCCCTCTCCCTCTTGTGTCTCTTTGTCTCTCTTTGTTTGTGTCCCTGGCTCTCTATGTCTCTTACAAGAAAAGTTGCATTATTCTATGACAAGGTACAATTATAAAACAAAATTTCAGTGTTAAAATTATACATCAAGTTTCTACAGTGTTAACTTTAACTGGGAATTGTAGGTTTTTAACTACAGGGTATTACAATTATAAATTGCAGTGTACTCAATTATAACTTTGTCATCAGAATATCATGTCACCAACAGTGATACGATATAACAGTGAGAATGACATCACTCTCAAAGCCTTCAAAGAAAGCTTAACACTAACCTAAAAGTAAATAGCTCTCCCATATCAAGTCTATTGAGGAGTTCCGCCTTGCTACGTGGGAATGACAGGCGGTAACGCTGTGTTTCAAATGCTGGCACAACCCATGCCTGTCAAGATAAAATAATTATAAAAATGTGTTCTAAACAAATTAAGAGAAATGATAGATGTAAAAATGAAGACGTAAAAACTCACGCTTAGTGGAAAGAAATGATATTACATATGATATTTCTTTGCAACAATAAGGAAAAAGAAACAATGAAATTTTTTACAGATGTAAATCAGAAATTAATTTGTTAAAAGTAACTTGAATAGTAACAAGAGCCTCTACATTAAATAGAATTGTATAGAGAGAAATACAAAATTAATGTATAAATGAAGATCAACTAATTTATAAGTGGCTAGTTGTAAAACTTAAAATCAGTTTTATTCACACTGCCACTCTAAATAAGAGTGAAAGGTGAATTAATTTAATACAGGTACTATGTATATACATTTTTTATATGTCTGGGAAAGATTTTGTGAAAGACGAAACCTTATACCGCTGTACTAAAGATTTCCCATACAAATTAACAAAACGATTACCTCTTGGGTTTGGCTTTACAAAGCCAAAAATTAAATTAACAAAATGACCAACTTACTTTACATGGAAAAATAGTAGAGACTTGAAAATTGAATAACACTATTCCAATATATATCTCTTTTTATTTATATACTGTATACAAGAGCGCTTACATTCTTGTAAAGCCACTAACATGCATAGCATTTCGGGCAGGTCCATAATCTTAATTTTTCTTCTGGAATACGACTCGCCAAATCGTTTAACAATCAGTTATCCATTCACTGCTGGGTGAACAGAGGCATACAGTTAGGGATTGGTGCCTAGTCAATCCTCCCTGGCCAGGATACGAACCCAGGCCAAATCATTTGCAAAGCGCGGGGCGTGTGTGTTACTACTCCACCACGAGGTTTTAACTCTACAGTAACAAAACGGATTTACAAACTTAAATGTTTATATTTACCTACCTTTTTGCTATCATCAGGGTGTAAATTCTGAAGTGTTTTTCTTAGGTAGACATAGAGACCAAACATGGGAAGAAAGTCTATATCCGTGAGGAAGACATATGGTGTGTTTACATGCTGCACTCCAACATTGCGAAGAAAGTTAACAGGATAAAAATTCTGAAATGCAAAAAAGAAAATACTGTATGTTATAGGTGTGAATCTACATGTCTTTCTTTCCAATCCATTGGAAAAGCAAAGCATTGCCTAAGAAAGTAACCAAGCAGTATAGCCCAGACGTATCAATTCTCAAGCTAAATCCATCACGTCCCTGACCTCCTCACACCTTCACCTTCGTTTCTTTACTCCCTGACTTCTCTCCTCACCTTTTTTCTAGCTAAGCATTAGCCATGTGCAGACAATAAGTCACAATAACGTAGCGGATAATTAAACATCCAAACTACACATATATTGGGTTGTGTTTATTAGATCTGATAGTATGAACAATGCCTGTATACTACCAAAATGATAACCTACCCCTTCTTTGTAGACGACATGGTATGCAACATTTTTTCTACTGGTAATGATTTCTGAGCTTTGAGTGTAGGATAGGAACTGCTGAGCTTCAGCATCAGACATGTACAGTGTCAGGCTTACAGGACCTGAAAAATATATAAAAATAGGGTATGAAATGCAATAACTCCACCATTTTGGACACCATCTCAGTAGCTCCTGCATGCATAAGATAAAAGGAGCTATTGAAGGGAACATAGGGAAAAAGAGGGGGGATAGAAAACAATATATAATTCTCATGTCAAAGTTCACTTGGAGCAGAGCATTTACAAAATAGCTTAATACAGTATAGTACAGTATATAAAGATACTGTATACTATAGTACAGACAACCACATGCTTTACAAACCCCTCGAGCCAAGACCCGTAGGTTAACCTGTTGTGTTCGTATAAGTGACCTTAAAATCTAGGAGAAAAAATTGACAAGTTCATAGCATAAATTCGAAAGTAGAGTATTTTGATTATACTCACCAATACAAAAAGTCCTGATCCACTTGCTATCTTGATTATCATTGTTGACGGAGCATTCTTATTTACATGGAGAAGGTGGTGGTGGATGTTGATGATGTTGGGTTGACTAATAGTGATAAGGTAACCTCAGATGCTGACACCCATTTGGGTCATGTGATGAGTCAGGTTCAGGTGAGGCAATGCAAGCTGTCTTGGAAGCCTTTGCAAAAAGACTCTTTAATTGATATTTGTTTCATTCACACAGAAATCACAATAGCGTGATGCATCAAATGAACAAATCCACAAGGGCCGTGACGAGGAATTCGAACCTTTGTCCTAGAGCATCCCAGACACTGTCTTAATCGACTGAGCTACAACATGGTCAAAAAGAGTTGAAACCAGAAGTTCTACTGAACTTACTTGGATCCTGCAGCCTCTCCGAGACACAAACCAGGGTTTTACACAACTCCTCCATGCACTCGAGCTATGTCAATAGGCCATTCTACCTCTTCGCCCTTACTTCATTACACGGCCCTCGTCACGGCCCTTGTGGATTTGTTTATTTGTTTCATTCCCTTTGCTCTTGTTTTCAAAAACTTCATATACAAATTATACAGGCTCATCATGTACTTAGTTTCAAACTCACTGTTACTCGTTTCCATAAATGCCAGAATGCCTTCAAAATATTGCTGAGCTTTTTTCATACGTATTACATTTTTCCTTTAACACTTCTTCATCCTCTTCCTCTTCCCCTTCCTCGCCATCATCTTCATTGCACGCTTCTGGCTTTTTTGCTGTAATTCTATAATTTCATCATCAGTCACGTTTTGAAAGGTTGGGGCTTCTTTGTCATAATCTATCCACTTATCTATGTCATCTTCTATTTTTCAGTCACTGGTTCTGCTCTCAGTTCTGGGAACTTAATCCCCTTAAGTTCTAAAATAGAACTTAGTTCTTCTCTTAATTTTTCATTGTTTGGTGAAACTCGCGTGCCTTTTCCACGAGCAGCCAGCCTGCCACTGGCTTCTTCATCTCCTCACGCTTCTGTTTGTACCACTGCTACACTACATTATCAACACTTTCCATTTTGGCTTTAATTATTACCTTTCTATTTCATATTGCCTTATCACTTTCACTTCTAGAGAAATACAATATTCACCAAGACACCATATTCAGCGTACACAACACTTCTCAAGACTCCGCTCTCCATTTTGTTAATTATTTAAACTTTCTTCTCAAATGTCATCACCGACCTCTTTCTTTTATGTATTCCGCTTCTTGAAGCTTTCACTGACACAATGGGTGCATTTGTAGCTGACATGGTACACGGATGTTCCTAGATTGTGACAAGATATCCAACAAAGTCACGGAATGAACACCCCAGTCTCGTGACAAATCAGAACAATGTTAACAATAAGCTGTGAATCTGTGATGTCACAGGGTAGAAGGCACTAGAGTGGCGCCCGACACCATCAGTGGACAAACTAGGCCCATCTCCCATCCAACTACCACCCCGGGCTGCAAGGCCTGGCGGACACTTGCCTAATGAGATACCCGAACCATTATATGCGAACCTTGCTCTTCCTAAAGTTGAGTATCCAAACCAACCTCAATCGCGAAACTGTCATTTTCGGATAGATGGCATTCCCAAAGCACGTGGCTATCTATATCATAAATTTTAATAGACAACATCTGTTTTTGCAGCTGACAGGCCCTAATTTACTGATTTCAGTTATGAAAGTTCTGAATTAATCAGAACTTTTAATCATATAAATTTTTTAATTTATTCACAATTATTTTTTAATTTAGTCAAGAAGTTATGTAATGCTAACTTAGAATATGATTTTTAAATACAGTGGTACTGTAGTTATTTATTATACCAATATCAACAGCGTTTACTTACCATCCCAGTGTGTTAGCAATTGTTCAACCATTTGCAAACGATCCATGGAAAGAGTAGCAACAAGTGTGACATCATAACCATCTGTTGTAGGATCATACTCATAGTCGAGGAAGAACAAGTGTGTCCGGTAACTGGTCTGGCGGGCACGACGAAACTCATAGCATTCGTCTTCCTCATTTAACTGTTAGTAAATGGGAAAACAAAGTATTACTAAAATTTATTTCTTATTCATATTTTGACTGTATTTCCTTGGAAGCTAAAGGTTTTTACATGTTCAGTAACTATTATCTGGACCTCTATTCCCACAATAATTCTGAATGATTAAAAATGGAGAAAATAACTAAGCCTTAGGGACAGTAAAAGTATAAAAAAAAAATCAATTTTTTTTTAATTAAGTCAAAAAGTCAAAATAAAAAATAAAAAGTAAAAAAAGTTTTGAAAGTCAAAATTAAAAATGTCAACACACAGCTCTGGAATCGAAGAGCATTCATCACTAAACACCTCTGGCAATTGTTTGCCATAATGAAAAAATGGAAAAATCCTGAACGCTTTAGCTTTAATTCTGGTAATAATACTGTATATTAAAAAAAAATTTATGAAGCTAGTTCGGTTTTCGGTAGCAATTTTTAACTAGGTTGTGTTTGTTTTGGGACACCTACCTTTCTTGGTGCCTAACCCAGTCAATGATAGACATAGAATGCTTCCAACCATATGGGGGGTTTCTCTAGGCCACTACTCCTTGTGTCACTCTGAGGGGGGCCAGGTTCTGGCTCATGGTCCCCGGTAGGCATAGAACTCCAATCAAATTGACTGATGCCATGGTCTAATACATACATATCAGCTGGGTAAGCTCTCTGAAGCCCCCAGGACTCGCCGAGAAAGTGGTGTTTCATTACATTCACTACTGGGTTTTTTCTTTACGCACACCGGGAAATTTATATACCTAATTTAGGATACACAAGAGGATTACTAAAGATACAGTACAAGTACTCATTAATTACTCTTACCTTTAAACAACTGCAATCACCCTCAAGAAATTGGGCTATGGAAATATAATTTTTGCCTAAACAAAAATGATAGGAGTAGGTTGTTAATAACATCTAACATCCATTTACTTTTTTGTATTACACGCTAAAGTACCTGTGAAAGTAAATTAGAAGAGGTGATTGATCGTGAATTGTTGCAGCCAAACAGTTCCCGACGTAGCAGATTCCCATCATATTCTAGGAAGGTGAGGTGCAAATTTCGGAAGAATTCAACATGTTTATTCTTTACCTTTAATTTCTTTGGTGAGTTCCAGTGAATAGCCTGAAAAGCAAATGTTCATCGTGTGAATACTTAACCATTAATGTTGTAGAAAATATCTTCAAGCTTTAAATTAAATTGAAAAATACTTCTATTTTCAGAAAATCTATACAAGTATCAGCAAAGTAAGATAAGTTAAAATTATAGTACAGTATACAAAATGTATTCTGCATTAGACTGCAAAGATTTTACACAATCAAATTTATGTTTGACAAAAGTAAATTTGAGGGTACAGTATCTGAGAAGAGACTCAGAGCTACACAAAATGGTATCGGAAATGAAATTTAGTAATGCCACCAAAATATACATTTACGACAGATTTAAAATCAATTTAACAGTTTTTAGGAAGTTGGGTGATATCATTAATTGTAATATGCTACAATTTTAAATTGAAAATAATCAAAACCTATTTCAAGACATTATTCAAGATACCTGTACAACATATTCAGTCTACATATAGAGTTAATTCCCCAAATAGAAAAAGTGCAAGAAATTCAATGTTGATTGATGGCAGATGCACAACAGATGATGGATAGACCAAGTAATAACCAGTTGATAAAATAAAAACATTTTTTAGAACAGTAGGCCCAGTGTTCAAAATAAATTGCTAAGTACTGTAATAAGTCATTAAATATGACAAACACATATACAGATGAAAAAAAATCTGGCTCCAAATGTATACGACAAGCTACTTTGTAAGCAGGACAACTGATTGCTCCCTGTAGATAGGTACTACTGGACCTGTGGGACAGCATTAGGCACAGTCGGAGCAAACATAACATTGTGCCCCATTATGGCAGGGATTATTTCAAGCTATTCCTGCTGGATCATAGTGTTTCTTGGAATACACACGTGTCCCAATTTCTTTTTTTACAAATGCCTTAACCTGGTTCTCAGCCCAATAACTTTTTTTCTCAATCAATTTTCTGAGCACTGCCATAAGATTTTACCCACCTGAAGTACAAATTATCCATGATAAAAATATGTGAAGAATATGAAGCAACTTCAACCTTGCTGTGAATATTAGACAAAGAACACATTTTTAAAATTAGGTGTAACCGAATCTTGTGCAAAGGCAGTTCAATTCAACCTCTATGTGCCTCTACATCAAATAGTTGGAATGTCTGGACCAAAATATCCAAGCCTTGCTGTCAAAACATTTTACAGGCTGAGAATGATATAACTGGTTATGGCAACACCATCTTGGGTGGCAGCAGGCTATTGGTAATGTGGATACGAGTGTCTAAGTGCAAGTACACCATGTATGGTGATGATGACGAACTAAACTGACCAAGAGATCTATAAAGACTATTGTTCTAGATTATCCAATGTAATTCTGAAATAAAGTATATTTTTATGAATGACGTATAAGATAAATACATGACAAAGCTTATAGGGAAGACGGGACACCACGAGCATTGCTCTCATCCTGTAACTTTACTTAGGTAAAACAAATAAGCAAACACAAATAAACATACAACCTCACCCAAACACAGATCAGTGCAATACCTTTAAGTCCATTACTTCTAAGTAGCACAATTCTGAACGAGTGTTATCTGATAGTTGTACATTCCACTGACATGGGAGGTTGTACACAATTTCTGGATGTTGCTGAAAGTAAGCAGAGATATTACAGAATTAAACACTGGTTGAATTAGGCCAATCATGAGAGTATTATCAGCATATGAATTCTTATGCCTTTTCTCATTTAAGCTTCTGTCCTTTTGTCATGTTATTTTGATAATAGAAAACTTCCTATAGTTTCCTGAAACGTAATACCCTAATACTCCACAAAACTATACAGTGTATGTAATATCTAACCTTGATGACTGCATTAATAATATCTTGATCAGCAAGCTGGGTAGAGAAAAGAGTTGTCAAGTCCCTCTCTGCTATGAGTTTCCATTTCTGGGACCAGTTGCTTCGCCTCATAACATCCAACCGGATGAGAATGACCCCAGTGTTATAACTGGAAGGTTTATTGTATTAAAAAGACATAAGGTAAGATTCTGTATGGCACAAAGAAAATTACAGAGTACTCCAATAGCACTGATTTATGGGTTAACATATGTTCATAAAACTGCCAAGCTGCCATCAGCGCTCAAGACAAACAGAAAAAGCTTACCCTCGACCAAGAGCTGGCCAGGGGCGATGCGACTTCCACAGTTTGCCCAAATACCAGTCACTCTGATTTTCCACCAGACCAATATACTGTTCCAAATAAAGATAAATTACTTACAAAGTCAAAGATATAGCGTGACAAAATTCCATCATATTTGTAGCTACGTCATCATCAGAAAAGGTACTTTAAAACACCATTATTGGTATCAAGTCCATAAGCAAAAAGTTTAAGATAAATGGATTATCATCCATATACAGTATAAGAAAGAATTTAGTTGGGTGTAAATAGGAGCTACCTCACATGGCTCAACAGGCTTTCTTCAGTTTCATTTCTTCTTATATTCTTACGTATGCTATGGTATATATTTAGGAAATTCTTGAACAATGAAGGCAATGTATACTCAATGATGTCTACTGTGCATTATTACACAATTCATATGATCTTATCGTCTCAGAGAGAGTACAATACTACAGTAGGTTTGTGAAGCACCATTTTCTGTATATATATATATATATGATCATAGATAGCTTTAAAACTGCAATTGGCTTTGACACAAACTGAAGTTTTATTCCATCTGTCTACTAAATATTAAAAAAAAAAAAGAGAACTTAGTGATCTTTTTTAACTTCTGTAAGAAAACTGCATGAAATGCTTAAAAATTTATACCAAAACTCAACTTACCTGTTTTGGACCAAACTTTGAAAATAGAGTCCAAAGTTCTGCAATATCTGTAGCTACAGTAATATCTGTATCCAAGACAATCACTCTCTTGAGTGATGATGGAAGAGCCTTGTTGAGAGTGAGTTTCATGAGACCGAACACCCCAGAATAGTGCTTGTTTGGAACCCAGGAGATATCAGCGGCCAAATTATCCGTTAAATAAAAGCTTACCTCAACTGCAAAGATTAAGATATTATTTTTTAGTCATATCTATCATATATTATTTCCAAATAAAATGGGCCTACTCTCATATGAAATACTAAATACTGTACTGTATCCTAAATAATATCTAATAGAGTATAACAAGTACACTTGGATATAGAACCTAACCTAAACTCTCCTAAGCCTATGACATGATATAGATAGATAGATAGAAAAATAGATAAATAGATACACACACACACACACACACACACACACACACACACACACACACACACACACACACACACACACACACACACACACACACACACACACATATATATATATATATATATATATATATATATATATATATATATATATATATATATATATATATATATATATATATATATATTGAATATGATATATATATATATGTTGAATATGACCAAAAAGGTAAGATTAATAATTCTAACACGAATTTTCTCAATATTTTTTATGTTTCTTTTCATTGCCGATGGTAATTGAAAAGTCAATTCTCCAAAATTCATTTTTATTTCTAGTCTGACGCCTGAAAGCGTTTCGTAATAACTTATTACATTTTCAAAGACTTTAGTTTGCACACACAACTGTAACCTGTAAACACGCAAAATACATCCATACTTATACTCGCATTTGGGTGAGGTGATATGGTACAAAAGTTTTGGGTGAGGTGATCGACATTTGCACAAGATATAACATGAACCAATGGGTATAAAAACATAAGAATGGAAGTAGCTGCAGAAGGCCTATTGGCCCATGATGGTTCCTCTTGATGCTTCAATATTGGTTCGGAGTCTTGAAGTGGGTAGAATATAGTTGTGCGTTATATTCTACCCACTTCTAGACCACATATTCTACCCATGATCTGGCACAAAAGGCCAGATCATACGATTCAGCAGTAGGAAGGCAAGACCAAACCCGATGTGTTAAGAATATACTGTACTGTACTGTACTGTGATCACAAGCAAGAACTTGGAAGGTCTTCGATTTTTGGTGGAAAGAACTTCTGAGGGTCATTTGTGGGATAGGTCGAATATTCTCTAGTGACCGAGTGAATTTAAACCCAGAAGGTACATTTCAAAATTTCCTGCAGCTTCGTGCTGTACCTTGAACCTGCCTGACCGCATGACTTATGTCTAAGGACACAGATCTTCCATGAAGAAGCCAAATATAGGATCAGAAAATACATTTTAAAAATAATCTAAATACTGTACACTCTTAAATATTTCATAAAACAATGTTAAACCAGAGAAAGGAAATTACCATGAGGGATATTCCATGATGAAAAAAGTGTATGCAAGACAACCTGAGCTTTGGCATCGGCAATCATATGGAAGTGAAGTGGATTACGTCGATAGAACAAGAGAGACTTGAGGAGTGTCACCACTGATCGTGATGAGTTGTATCCTGCACACACTATAGCTATTTGAAGTACCTCACATTTTGGCACACCCAATTCCTGTCAAAAACAATGGAGAATTATACAGTCATAAAGTTTAATACTCAACCTACAATTTTTATTATATTTATCTTGTTAATACCGTACTGTACAAAGTAAGAAAACCGTACTTTTATTGATATTTATAAACACACTTCTCTGAAATTTACAACATACAATTGTTCTTTTTAGCCTTTAACATGTGAACTTTTAAATATGCATTTCATGACATGTTGCTGTCTATGCAGCACCCAATATATAGAAGGTACAGTACTGTACTGGACTCAACAACATGATAATTAATGTCGTAAAGATTCAATCTGTATTGTAATAACAACAGAATTTTGTATTCTTCTTTTTGTAATCAACACTAGTACTTTATGCAGAGGAGGAGTCACAATACTGTAATGTCGCTGAAAAATGTCAATAGACTTGATAAGGGTCTAAGACAGACTGAAATGTTGTCGACTCTTCACTTTCTAGTGTGTGGTTTGGTCACACTAATTCTTTAGCCTTAGAAACATTCAGATCTAAAAAGTTATGCTGATAATGCCAAATTCATAAATGTGAGGTACGCTTTCAACATCAGAATTTACAAAGTGCAAGACTTGGTTGGCTTTGTGAACCCAGCACAAATTTAATGGCATCATTAAGTCACTCATATTTTATGTATTTTTGACCAACATTCATCTATAGCTCCTCTAATCCTTCTGCAAATCTTGCTGCACCCAAAGATGCTTCAATGAAGAAATGAAAACTAATGCTGAATCTAGAATCAACATTTTAAATAATGGAGAAACTGGAAGCTGAGAAGTTAGCTCCAGTACTTGGTCATGTGTACAGCGTGAACAAGTCTAGAAAACATCCGCGATGTACAGGACAGTATACTTCTGGCAGAGAAGTAGCAGAAGTACAGTACTGGTGTGGTCAGGTGAGGGCAGGGCAGACAGTGGTGGGGCTGGGCAGGCAAGGGCTGCTGTTTATAGCCTAGCCAAACAATGCAGATGGCAGATGATACTTGCTGAGAATCAAAGAGTACAAGCTCTAAAAGTTTAAATACATAAAACATCTTCCATCAATGAAGCCAAAAATGAGGTAATGATGATGAGGAAATAGAGAACAAAAAATTATGCCCTCCAAAACAGAACTTGACTGACCTTTTCTTTGCACTTAGTAGCACCTTGTTCTCCATTCCCTGTGCCATCCCCCAGCTTGTCTGTGTTGTCCTCCCCGTCAGCTCCCCAAGCTTGAATCAGCTGGTTCTGGGAGATGCTCAGCTGTCTCCTTAACAACTGGTTCTGCTGTTCCATCTCCCGTACTCGTTCGGCAAGGCGCACTTCTCGCGGTGTCAATCCTAGTACATTCGTGGGATCCGATCCTAAAAATACATTGTGCACCAAGTGCAATTTAATGCTCCTTTCTGAGCCAGGACTTCAGATGCTTCTATAGCCAGTTCCTACATACTCCACCCAGGAATCATACTACTTGCCACACACACGTGACATTTATTAACCCCATCATGACATTGCTTTTACAGGTACTGTAATCCCATCATGAGTTTAGGGAAGGGGGACAGAGGTGAGTCTAATAAAATATGCAAATCATGACCTTCAAAAGCATTCTCCTCAAGCAAAATCTTGAATTACTGTACTGTATCAAGATCAGTTATTATTATTCAAATTACTGTTAGAAGTTCAAAACTACACAACCTCCTCCAGCTGTCATCACTGTTACTATAACGAAGTTGGAGAAGCCAACAATCTCTTGCTGAAACCCAAACCACAAAACCACCCAATTTCTAAGCTAAAGCCATTTGTGATAATACCATGGCCAACTCCCTGAACTCACCTAGTTATGCTTGTGGGGGTTCAGCTTTAGCTCTTTGGTCCTGCTTTTCATTTGTTTGATTAAGTAATGCTGCAGAAAAAAGTGGGAACTTCAACTGAGCAGAACAAAGAACTAGGGGACTGTGCAAAAGAAGTTCAGAGAAAACTTCAGTCCTAAGGGCCAGAATAAAGGCAAATGGGGACTTGCTTCCCAGGCAGGGGAAACAAGACAAGAGCTCAAAGCCACCAGGCAACTAAATGAAATGAGTACTGTATTAACACAAAAATCACAAGCTGGAAAAACACGTGCACTGACTAGGAGGAACCAGCCATCCAAAGACAGGAAAATGCCTCATACTTGATAGAGACAGAACCACCAAGCAAAATAGCACCCACCATGAAGACTGATCTGCCAATATCCAGCACCAGGGAAAGAGAAGGAAGGTGGACACATAAAAGAGTCCAGGTTGCCTGCCCAGGGCAAGAGAACAGGGAGAGAGCAGGGACAGCCAAATACTACTGACAGGAGAAAAAGTGGAGAAAGACAGGAATTAGGATCAACCAGCTTGAAGGTTACCAGGTAACAGCCAGAAGAGGCAACTAAGAAAAAAAGAAAAAGCTAAAAGGTGAAAGAAAGACTAAGTCCAAGAGAATAAAATGGACAAAACCAAAAGTGAAAGGGAAAAGTCAACTGTGTATATAAAGAAAAACTGCAGAGGAAGGAACCAAGGAAGTGCTCAAGAACCAAATCCCCCAAAACTAATACTAAAGACTGCAGTTTAAGAACAAAATAAGCATGGCATCAAGAGCTTAGAATATCTAAAGATAGGAGGAGAAAGAAATAAGTAAAAATATACTTAAAACACAAGTAGGCTCAAACTTGTGGAGATGCATCAACAGATGAGCCGAGGCAGGAAAAACGAGCTATGGCAATAACCCAGCATCCATGAAACCCATGAGAAACAGGTGAATATGATACCCTTACAGTCTGATATGCACATGACGGGGGAGCTGGGAAGAAACTAAGATTAAACTGTGACAGAGCATACATGAATGCATGTATGGAGCAGAAAACACTCAGGGGCCAGGGACCAAGGATCAAGAAGGATCAAAAGACACCCAAGGACACACATCCGATACCACTCCCTCATTCCCAGGGGCCCCTGTCGACAGGAGGAGGCACCAAGAAGGATCCAAGATCTTAACAACTTGCTGAGAGACACGCGTCAACAAAAGACTGGGGATGCAGGCAGAAGGGAGAGGGAAACCAACCAAGAATCCCATTTCAGCCCTAACCAGGTCTGAACCTGCAACATAAACAAATGAGACTTTTGCCAATTCACCAAAAACCCAAAACTGACGAGCTGGGAAAAACTAGATTCTTAGCCTGCTGACATACAGACTGGCTGGAAGCTCAAACTAGCCCAAGTCTAGGTAGACTACGACATGCACCCCTAATACCCAAAAACACACCCCTAACATTAGTATCACCTATGTGCATAGGTGGAACTAACAAGAGAATTGCCTCATGATTGGGTGGTTCATGAGTTTAGGGGCTTCACGGTCCCATTTTTTATGCTCTGTTTACCTTACTGTGTGACTATTTTGGTTTACCAACCTTTCTGGTGGCCTTTTCTTAGTTAGTGAGCTATGATCCCCTGCTCCTTGAGCCTCTTTAAAAGACAGGCCAGGTTTTGGCCTCTAGTCTCTGGTAGACTTACAATACTCACAGGGGCCTGGCATGGATTGAACTGCATGGAGCTTAGCAGGTAGCAAGCACCAAGGAGCTACTAACTGGAGCCTTCCCAGAAAAAAGCAATATGATTACCACATTCAAAATAGTGACAGGATAGATAACACAGTTGACAAGGAGGAATTTCTGGAGTCTTTAACTTCAGGAACTACAGCCCAAAAATTTAAGAGAAGAAAAGAAAGGTACCAAAACATATATGGAAGTTCTCTTTTGTGAACAGACTTGTGGACGATTGGAACAATTTAAGTAATGTGGCAATAGATGCCAAAACCATCAGCCTTTTCAAAGCATCATATGACAAAGATTATAAAGAAGATGGAACACCACAAGCGTAGCTCTCATCCTGTAACTACACTTGGGTAACTGCACGCACACACTGTCTTCCAATCTCTGTCTCCCAATCCGTTTCATATTTAAATCTGTTTTGTTTCATATGTCAAACATTTTCAGACTAAGAGCAAGAATAAAGTCATCAGGGTACATGATATTACTGAACTGGGTCCCAGGTAAAAGGTTTGAAGATCCCCTGCTCTAGACTACCTTACACAGTATTATCTACAAGAGCTTTCTCATTGAAAGAGGTTTAAAATATCCTGAATACAGTGCCCACTAAGCTTTCAGCAAGTATCCTTCAGAATGCTCACATGTAATGAGACCAGGAAAGTACAGAAGAATCCATATCAACTTGATTCTCAGTACAGTACAGTATTAGGAATCTAGGTTAGCTTCGGGTATCTGTCTAGTAGGTTCAGAAACCAAGATTGGGTGAGCCATAACAGAGATATGAGAAACTTCCTGCCTCTCAAGTTGGCCCACCTTCATTTAAACCCTTATCTATCTCATGGTGGTTCTAGGGTTCAGTGTTCCCTATTATCCAATCTTTTACCAAAGCCTCCTAATTGATGGTTTGATAACAGATTGCTGGTGCCTGCAGCTCACAGCCCAACCTATGAACAAAAGTCAGTCAGTTTAATTTGACTGGGTATCTTTTGAAAGGATTTTGTCAGTTCTCCCTTGAACATAATTTGAGATTTGTAAGGTTATCTTGAGGTTACTGTATCTTGAGATGATTTCGGGGCTTAGCGTCCCTGCGGCCCAGTCCTCGACCAGGCCTCCTTTTTGTTACACACCCCAGGAAGCAGCCCGTAGCAGCTGTCGAACTCCCAGGTACCTATTTACTGCTAGGTAACAGGGGCAGCAGGGCGAAAGAAACATTTTGCCCATTTGTCTCTGCCTCCACCGAGGATCGAACCTGGACCCCCAGGACTACGAATCCGAAGCGCTGTCCATCCAGCTGTCAGACGCTCTTAATACCATAATTTCTCTTACACTGTATCTAGAGAGTGTTCAAAAGTCTTGATCCTTATGCAGGCGATGAGTCACAATAACATGGCTGAAGTATGTTGACCAGACCACACACTAGAAGTTGAAGGGACGACGACGTTTCGATCCGTCCTGGACCATTCTCAAGTCGATTGTGATGAGGAGGTAGAGACAGGCAATAAATAGGCAAGAGAGAGCTGAGGAGGAAAGTAAGGTGTAGGGGATAGTAGTAATAATGAGAACTGCAGAGGGCCTATTGACCCATACAAGGCAGCTCCTATTATAACCACTGAATGAGAAGGAGATAGTAATAGGAAAAAGAAGAGGATAGCAAGGGAGCGTAGGAGAAGACAATGAACAGAAAAAGGGGAGAAGAGAGAAAGAAAAGGAAAGAGAAAGAAAGATAAATGGAAGGGGTAAGCTTATGTTAAGCCACGTTTGTTAGAAAGATTAGAGCATTTGAGTATATACTGTGAAAGGGAAGAGTCCACAGCAACAAAGCCAGGACTCAAGTTCATGTTGGGTACATTGTGTATCAGAGCCGATTCTACAAGACGGCGTCTGTGTAGAGTAGAGGCAGGAAAGATTATTTTGGAGGAAGACCAATCAATGGGATGATTAGAATCCCTCACATGGCAGAAGAGAGCATTGTTAGTGTCTGCAGACTTAACACTTCTCTTGTGTTCTTCAAGTCTGTCATTCAGTGTACGGCCAGTTTCGCCAAAGTATTGGAGAGGACAAGATGAACAGGAAATAGAGTAGACACCAGCAGCATTAGAAGCAGGAGGAGCAGTGTGAACTAGATTGCTACGAAGTGTGTTAGTTTGTCAAAAGGCGAGTTTAATGTCAAGAGGACGAAAGGTATTGGTAAAAGTTTTGAGTTCAGATATAAAGGGAAGGCATAGTACAGTGCTACTAGTGTTGGAAGCAGGTTTAGGATGAAAGAAATTTCGTTTAGCTTGAGAGTAGGCAAGGTTGATGAAATGCAAAGGATAACCAAGGCGAGAGAATGATTTGTAGATAAAGGCAATTTCAGAATCAAGAAACTGAGGGGCGCTGATGCGTAGAGCGCGGAGGAAGAGAGAGACGAGGACACTTTTCTTAACAGAAGGAGGATGGTAGGAAAAGAAGTGAATGTACATGCCACTATGTCTTGATCCTTTTATGTTTATAATATTATCTCTTGGTGTATTTGTTACAACCTTACATTTCAAAGTGGCTTTTTAGCAAATTATACCATGCTTTCTGGTCTCATAGGAATTATTTCAGAATGGGTATTGGGAACCCGTTCAAATCTCCAAATGTAGATTTTAATATACTGTATCTTTCTTGCCTGCATTTCAGGGGAAACATGAGTGAGTCCAAGCATAACCAAAAATATAGATGTTTTATTGAATAGATTTGGCCATTTTGGTTCTCTGCATGTTCTCCAATGCAGCAATTTCTCCAGCCTTAAATAGACAGTACACATACAGTGTTATAAAAAGTTACCCTTGGCATGGCATCTCTTATTTGAAATCCTATTATTTGATCCTATTATCTTATTTGATCCTATCATCCAACCTATCCTATTATTCACCCTATCCTTTTCTTACAGTTGTAGTAGTTACTTTATTGTGTTCTTTAAATGTAAAATCTATATTGTATCCTTGGCTGTGGACAGAGATCACTCACTGGTTAATTGATTATGTCATTCCATAATTATTCCTAGTTGCTATTTTATTTGGTATTGTGTGTCTTTCCTACCATAAGTAGGTCAAGCCTTGCCTTTTTTTACAAACTATATTTATTCACCATCATGAAATTGGATGTTCTGGTATTGGGAAGTGTGGTATGTATGGTTCTTTGCCAATTCTTTGAAAGTATAGTACAGTACAATACTTCTTATCACGACCTATGGGAATACAAAATATTGATAAAAAATTATAAATACAGTAAAGTAATGGAGCTCTAAACTGACCAAGATATTTTAAAAACTGTACGTGGCAATAATAATGAATTAAGCACAAAATGAGAAGCAGAATTGACAAAAGTAAAGCACAGTGAGATACTGATGAATAAGTAACCAACAGAGGTCAAAAGAATAAAGGTACTTACCATCGAGTCTGGTTAAGAGTGTTGCTGCCACAGCACAACCCACAACCACTCCAAGCAATAATCCACACCACCATCTTCGAGTGTGGGAGAATCGCACACTCACAACCCGTTTGCTTCTACGACTTATCTTGGCGTAATCTAATACACCCTCTCTGCCAAGAAAAATTGCATAAATAAAAATCAAGCACTGAGTGTAATTTAATGCACTTCTCCTAGAACCCAGGTGAATGAAATGTTTATTTCCATGGAAGTGTGGATGACAATTTATATGACGCGGTAGGTCCTAGTTTCCGGTAGGACAGTGAATCTCAGAGGTTTGGCATGATCTATAGGTTCAGCAATACCAGCCCACAAGCTCACAAAGCTACCGAGGAGGCCTTCTCAGAAATATGAGACAGTTAGTATGATAGTTTACTGGTGTTGTGGAACACCTAGCAGTACAGTAAAACTAACCTTACAAGTGCATGCATATTACACTGCAATCTCCAATAAATCAGATTACATGTACATCATTCCAGGCCAGATCCAGAATCCTGAATAATCATGATTTCTGGATAATTGCTATCTTTTGTCTATCACCAAAGTGTGTGGATTTTTTAAGCAAATACAATAACACAATACATTTCAGCATATTCAGACATACTGTAAAAATAAAATATAAATAATTATTTTGTATGCATATAAATAATGATTATTCACCAAAGTACAAAACATTAAGTTATTCACTTTCCTTTTTGTAGCACAGGCTGGCCTTCATAAGCCATAAGCTTATGGCTTATGATGGCCATAAGCCATATGGCCATAAGCTTATGGCCATAAATTATTTTCTCAACACAATTTATACTTTAATCTCAATTAGTATTAAGTTTTAGTCTTGGTGTCTTTTCTGCCCGAAACACTTGGCATAATAGTGGCTTAGGCATTTTATGTACTAGCTCTATCTATAAATCCATCAACGTTTTGTATCTCACCTTGTATGTATGTACTTTACCTGAATAAATATTTGTATTTGTTTTGTATTTGTAAGCAGCAAAATTCAGTTATAATGCTAAATCATGACAACTGTTAAACTTGTGCAGTCACCATGACATGGCCTTGAAGTCCTCAGTGCCCATTGTTAATGCCATTTGTTCAGCTACACGCTCGAACCCGTTGATGTGACGACTTATACTGTACTGAATTTTGTAACTAGCTCATCAAGATTGTAACTTATTCAGCTAAATGAATTGTGGGGTTCAGTCCCTGAGCCCATTATGTGCCTCTGTAACCCTTTCCACTACTGCCCACAAGATGGGTATGGGGTGCATAATAAATGAACTAAACTAAACTCAGCTGCAGACTATGTGACCACCAACTGCCAGTCCCAGACTAAAATGATGCATAGAGCTTTAGCAGACATCATCCAAATCCTCTTTCTTGGATGGTTTCAATATTTTTGTGTTGCTTTTCTTTCTACTACAATTCTCTATTATATTTCCAAACTATATGATCTGCTTCCTTTGCATTTTTTATGCTAAAAATGTCACTAGTACCATTGCCATATTCATCTGCCAGCCACTTTCTTCCACCCACAGTCAAGTTTTTGTAATAACTCGGTCATATTGTCATATGGTAAAGGACCAGCGTTGAATGTGATGAAACGACGCCTCTTTCTGGTAGAGCTCTGGTGGCTTCCTGAAACTATCTCACTGAGAGGGCTTCTCACTACTGGGTCATTGTCTTGACTAGGCAGGAAGCCTCAGTATAACTAGTTAATTTGTGTACATTGTATTGAAACCCCAAGCATAAATAGTTAATCTGTGCCCCATTGTTTGTCTTGCAAGTACAGTACTGTATTGAATCCCAGGTTAGATTAATTATTAGCATATTATGGTTCAGTAGTGTTTGGCTTGGCTTGGCTTGTGGTGTGTGCTTGGGAGTACCAACTGTGCAGGTTTGAATCCTCCTCACGGCTCCTACTGATTTTCTCATCGATACATGACGTTAATGTTATTTCTTCGTGCATTACAACTAGCATTATTCTTCTTACTGATTTGTTAGTCTAAACTTCAGGGCTCCTACATTCACCTGAGAGTAATAAAAATCAAATACCTAATTTTAAAAATCTTTATTTTGACAAAATATATATATTTTTTTTTATGTTTTTTGCAAGTCATGCACCTGAATGTCAAAAATAATGGTTACAAATATTTTCCCTAAATATTCACTTGCTGATATCTGCTATATAAACATTCATACTTATGGAATATATGCAAATATCTTGGCAATTTTTTGGGCTGTTTTACTGAACAATACAGAAAATGGCAAGTTGTTTAAACTGCTAGTGTCCAGAGACCAGTGACCATTATGATACAAGTGACCTTACCTTGTATGAAGTGTGGAAAATGAAAAATAAATTATGAATAGGTTTAAGAGGGGGTAAGAGTCCTGATATAGATGGCATAATGTATATGCTCCTGATATAGATAATTTAATGTATAGAGATAAGGTGATGTCTGAAAATTGTTAAACGAATGTCACAGTGTAATTATGTAAGTGTAGTTACAGGATGAGAGCTATGCTCATGGTGTCCCATCTTCCCAGCACTCTTTGTCATATAATGCTTTGAAACTACTGACGGTTTTGGCCTCCACCACCTTCTCACCTAACCATTTTCAACTGTCGACCACTCTGCGAAAGTGAATTTTCTATTAATTCTTTGGCAGCTTTGTTTAGTTAGTTTAAATCTATGACCTCATGTTCTTGAAGTTCCAGGTCTCAGGAATTCTTCCCTATCAATTTTATCGATTCCCATTACTATTTTGTATGTAGTGATCATATTGCATCTTTCTTCTATCGTCTAGTTTTGGCATATTTAATGACTAACCTCTCCTCATAGCTCTTATCCTTCACTTCTGGGGGCCATTTAGTTGCATGTCTTACCACCTATTCCATTTTGTTGATGTGCTTTTCAAGATATGAGCACCATACAAACACCATACAAAGTGTGGTAGAAGAGAGGTGTTCCAGATAATTGGACTAGGTTAAAGGCCTCTATGGTCCCTATATATAATATAAAATGTAATAGGGAAGAATGTGGAAACCATTAAGAGATTATTTAATTAATGTACCAGGATAAATGTATGCATGAGTGCAAATTGAGTTAAAGAAAAAGAAACACCATATAGGATATGAAAGGTATTGCATGGCTTTAGAATAGCGTATTCTCTCAAGTCGTCACAATGAATAGAAAATTATGTACTAAACTGCCCGAATCTCACATAACCTAACTCAACTGACAGACCCACACACAGAAAATGTGGTTGTTTGTCCACTGTCATGATTTATAGTACATTATATTTTGTTCATTGGGGATTTTGACATCAAAATGCAATGTATTATTTGAGAAGAAAGAGTGTTTAAAAAGCACTGAAAGAGGTTTAAGGTAAATGGTTTAAAAGGGAGTTTATTAATTAATAGCAGTGAAATCATTTCATATGAATAACACGGCATATGAAATTATTTCATATGAATACAAGAGCACACATCCATTTATCTACTGAAGACATTCATTTATCTACTGTAGACATGCATTTATCTACTGTAGACATTCATTCATCTACTGTAGACATTCATTCATCTACTGTATGCACATTCATTCATTATGTATATACAGTACTCATCAGCAAACCAATACAGCACAGACAATGTACAAAAAAATCAAATATGAAAAATCTGGTCACTTTTGAAATTAGTTTGAAAATGTTACCACGTTCATTCTGGTGACCTTGTACATTAGATTGTTCTGCAATGGTATGTATATGGTGATTAATAGGACATGTTGACCTTGTACGTTAGATTGTTCTGCAATATTATGTATATGGTGATTAATAGGACATATGGTGATTAATAGGACTATTAATCACCATATGTATATGGTGATTAATAGGACATGTGTTCTACATGTTTATATCACTAATTATATGGGAAATCAGTAAACTACCCATTTATCTGAAAACCGGCACACGGTCATGCATTAAACCCCTGGTGCCGCCAGTTTTTGTTAAATATATTTGTGGGCTTTGCACACTCTGCATTCAGTAAAGGGTCATTTTATAGAACAGTGCCTCCTCTTTTGAAACTTTTTCTACAAATGCAATCTTACTACATTGCATTTAAGATTGTAGTAAGATTGATATTTAAATCTATATTTAAATCTATTGAGAACTTAAATAATTCACATGTCCTGACATGGGGTAACTTTACCTCTAAACTATTTATTCTTTGCACAAAACTTCTTATTCTTTACAAATTCCTCACTCGGCTTTCTTTTGAATTTCTTATAATTTACCGGTTTTTTATTCATAACTATTTGCTTGACAATTTTTTGAAAATTTGTATATTTTATCTTTCTTCTGTCACATCTTTCTGTAGTAATATTTTCCATGCATTCTTATTCTCAAAAGGCTCTGATATTTTCGATGACTCATTCAATTTGTTTAACTTTTAACCTCACAAATCTTTTTTCAGCTTTAATATTTTCAGCCCTAATACTGTATATAAATATTTTGCCTTCACATTCTCTAAGTCATTTCCAATTACAACCTCTAATATTTTGTCTAATCTTCCTTGAAATTTTAGGCTTTCTTTACAGCTTTCAACTTTTTTTTTACTACATTCCTTATATGAGGGAAAACTCACCAGACACTTACCCTATATTTTAACAACCTAGAATAATGACCCACTTCTTAAACATTCCTCTCCAGGAGTACTGTATCAACAAAGTTTTTAATATATAGATCAATGTCTACTCATTCAATTCATATTACAGTGAAAGTGTTTACAATACAGCAGTATAAATATTAATATGTAGTTCACTTGGTATTGCAATAACTTTCATAATAGATTTTAGTTACTTTACACCAAGCAACAGAAGCATTAATGCTAATTTACTTGTGAATACAGTATTTCTGTTGCGTATTAAGACTTTACCTATAATGAACCTTTACATTTGTACTTCAGTACCATATGTCATAATTGTAATTTAAGTAAGTAAGTAATTATCAAAAGAAGGCACCAAACCAATTGTAATTTAAACAACTTTAAATGATGAAAGAGCTAGATGATAAATTCTAACCAAAGCTTAGTTATGTTGATCCACACCAGACCTTTGCTTAATATAAACAAACTTAGTACTGTATATTGAAACTTAACCTAAAAATACCATTAATTTAAAAGAATAGTTGTCTTTAGTGAGAATCGTCATTTATTAGGGGCAGCTCTAACACTGCTTATACTGTGAGTAGCCTTTTTTAGCTTCTGGCTAAAAATGTTGTTTTAAGATTTAGTTTCTATACATAAGCTTAGGATAGGCTAGACTAGGTTAGCTGAAGATAGTAAAAAAACAATGGCAGTAAATGCTAAGCATGAAATATCAATGCAAGACACTCAGAACACAAGTACAGCACCTGTATATTAATTGCTTTGGGCAGGATCAATGCCCAACGCTGGTCGACGACCGGGCCACGGGGACGCTAAGCCCCGGAAGCACCTCAAGGTAACCTCAAGGATACAGGTAACTTTTCACTAAAGATACTTTTAGTAAAGATACTAAATATACTAGATAGGTTAAGTTGGTTTCTAAATAGGCTGGCAAAGTATCTTTAGTGAAAAGTTACCTGTATCCTGCGCAAAGCAATTAATATACAGGTGCTGTACTTGTGTTCTGAGTGTCTTGCATTGATATTTCATGCTTAGCATTTACTGCCATTGTTTTTTACTATCTTCATATTCATATATATATAATGGTCCTGGGGACCATTCAGGCTTGTTCGCATATATATATATATATATATTCATATATATATGTCGTACCTAGTAGCCAGAATGCACTTCTCAGCCTACTATGCAAGACCTGATCTGCCTAATAGGCCGAACAATTTTCTTTTTTTTCAATAAAATTTTTCCAATTAGTTTATTTTAATTACTATTAATATATTATATTAAGAACATAAATTATTGACTTAGTTGTGTTAGTTTAGGTTAGGTTAAGATAGGTTAGGTTAGGTAGGGTTGGTTAAGTTCAGTCATATATCTACGTTAGTTTTAACTCAAATTTAACAAAATTTAACTCATACACAATGAAATGGATAGCTTTATCATTTCATAAGAAAAAATTTAGAAAAATGCATTATTCCAGGAAAACTTGGCTTATTAGGCAAATTGGGCCTTGCATAGTAGGCCAAGAATTGCATTCTGGCTACTAGGTACGACATATATATATAATTTAACAATTATAAAATGAGTATTCTAGAAATACCTGTAAATGATTTGCCCATAACCCCCTGGAAAATAATACAGTACATATTTAGAACAAAATAAAATTTATGCTTGTAAACTCAAAATGGTACCTGAAAACTAGATTTTACAAGAAAATTATCTATAAATTGCATCGAGACAATCAGAACAGCAATACGAGATATTTTCACCAAGATTTAACACTATAATAGATAATATGAAAGTCATATACCTTACAGCTCCTGTGCTTTGTGTATGGGGCATCAACTCTCAGCATGCAAACCCACAAATACCTTTATAAAAAATAGTGAAATAACGTTCTCATAACTGAGAAAATGCCTCGTCTAGCTTTCTACGACTCATTTTGATCTTCCTAAAGAGTTAAAGTAACCTTAATTAGCTCGATTACCGTCAATATTCTTACACAAAATTATGAACACTTCAAGGAGGCTGCATTTGGTATTCGAATGCGATAGCAGCGTCTTGCGCTTGGACATTTCACTTTTTTGCAAATACAAAATCGACAATCACACTTGTCTGTACTATCATATTCCTTTATGAACAAATCATTGTGTGTGTATATAGGTGCGCTAATGTTTTCAATTATTAACAATGTGTCTAGTAGAGCGGACATACGCTGTGTTAAGGTCAAAGCCATATAGAGGGATCAGGAGACGGGGAATGATGTAAACAAATGCCATCTTCCCATTTTCTCCAACTGTCTTGTCCCCTAATCTAGTATTTATTCACAAGAAATATACACAAAAAATACTCTCAAATGGACAAAATATACATCAAAATACACAACCAACAACTAACGATTTTAATACTAATTATTACTTAGTTGCAAGTCTTTTAAATAAAAAAACAGGAACTGTTTTTTTGTATACACAGCAGTCTGGTGCTACAGGAACTAATAATATTAAAACTAATATTGATAAGAAAAATATGAATAATTGTTAATACTGATAATAATTATATAATAATTATGTCGTAACAATAATAGATAATAATTATAATATAATAGATAATAATGTTACACTGGTTGCCTGTCCCGACACAATTAATTATTAGCATAATTAGTATTATTATTATTATATATTATGCATTACTATTGACGACAACAACAACAGCACCAATTAAAATAATACAAATAATAATAATTGATGTTAATAATATTAAATACTAATAATACCAGTTAATGTCAAATAATATTGGGACCTGCATAAACATTGTAAGCTTGTTAATAACAAAAATAAAACGGCATAAACTAGTACTAGACCTGAGAAAAATATTAACACCTTGACGTCATCGCTACACTTGAAACACCCCTAATCTAGCACAACCTAACCTCGCCTAACCTAACCTAACCTAACCTAATATAGGTACAGGTTTTTGGATCCTGTTGTTCCCATTCAACTCTTGCATCACTTTTGGAGGAACCCACGTGGCGCTTTTCTTAAGACTATTGCGTAAATCATCTCAATGAACCCTATTTTACACAATGGGCCCAATTAGGGTTGTGGATGTGCTGAATACAGAGCTATAACACACTGTTAAACGTTTGGTTCCGTCTGTACAGTACATATGCAGTCCTCATGTCTAAAACATAACACATATATCTTTTAATAATATTCTGCCCATTTGAAGTTGCATGATATTGCTTTTTCAAGTAGTATAGCTTTAAGCATATAGTTTGTGATGCATTATAGGATGAGTTGTATACAATGTTTGTATATAAGTTTAGCTCTATTTTCTGTATTTTGTTTTATCTTGTGAGATGATGATGAATAGATATACCGAATTCCTGTAATAGTGTTGCTTCAAATAGCATATATTACGTAGATTTAGGGGGAAAATATATATACTGTATATGTGTATATATATATATATATATATATATATATATATATATATATATATATATATATATATATATATATATATATATATATATATATATATATATATATATATATATATATATATATATATATATATACATATATACAGTATATATGAATGATTATATAGCGTTGAAGGTGAGGGGGGAAGGGGTGAATGTGTATGGCTGAGTCATGGTGAGTGTGTGAGAGTGAGGAGTGAGAGCGTGTGAGTGAGTGAGGGGTGAGAGTGCGCGTGTGCTGTGAGTGGTGGTGAGAGCAGGAGGCAGTGTTGGCTCAGGTGGTGCTCCAGGGGTCGTCACCATGACTGACCTCCTCCTCAAGAAGGTCGTCCTCAGCACGGGCAACATCCTCCAGATGGACCACCTCATCCGCAAGGCCGGCCAGTCCACCAGTGATGAGGTACTCGCTCATTAATGAGGTGCTCTGGCGACACGCAGTCAATGAGTCGGGGGGGGACTCGTCAGTTGTATGAGGTACTCATTGGTACTCATAGTGAGGAATGAGGTGCTCACTCATTAGTACCAGTCCCTGGTTCCTCCGGTTTGAGGTGCTCACTCATTAGGAGCTGTGGGGCCCAATTGGGACTATTTTACCCCACTCCCCCAGGTTCATAGCGAAGGTCTTGTTTTAGTAAAAGATTTATTAAATATAATTGTATTTTTTGGCTTTGAAAAAAAAAGAAAATACATCCATAAGATACAAGAACTGGAAGGGAGTCCTAGGTAAGACAAGTACAATGCCGAAAGCCGATAATATAATTCATTTGTGTCGGGGACAGGCAGCCAGGTTATGTATAAGGCATATATTAGGGGTTATGTTGAGCCCCCCCCCCCCCAGGTCAAACTACTGCCCCCTACCCCCAGGGTCAAACTACACAACACAGGAACAAGGCAACTGCAGAAGGCCCACTGGCCCATACGAGGCAGCTCCTATTTATAACCTGTTTATTTATGACACTGGGATTAATAAATCCCAGTGTCCTATTTGCCTTATTACGAACATTCATGCATTGATCCTTTGGTTTTAAATTCTTCCTAATCATAACTGCCAGATCCCTTTCGCAATCCAACTTCACAATCTCAACATCATCCAGCTCATATCTTGTAACTCTATCATCATTACCTAGCCTCAAAACTTTACATTTATCAGCATTAAACTGCATCTGCCAATCTTTTGACCATTTCAAAACCCCTATTTAGATCAACTTGAAGTGATAATGAGTCTTCTTCCGTGTTAATTTCCCTTCCGATTTTTGTATCATCGGCAAATTTGCAAATGTTGCTACTCAAACTAGAAAATATTTGTAATTATCGATTCAAGTAACTTTCCCACAATAGATGTTAGAACTACTGACCCCCCCCTGGGTCAAACTACTGACCCCCCAAGGTCAAACTACTGATACCCCCCCCCTAGGGTAATATTACTGATCCCCCCCCCCCCCCCCCAGGATGCAACCTTGTAATGAGCTGACTTAACTCCTGGAGTACTGTTTACTGCTAGGTGGATAGGGGCATTAGGTGATAGGAAACGTGACCAATAATTTCTGTCCCGCCCGGGATTCGAACCCGGAATTCTCGATTGTGAGTCGAGAATAAACCCAACTGTATGACAGGGTTGTAATACAGGGTCATAAATCATATGCAGTGTTTCAGGCATAATGTAGCCCCCACCCCCCAAAAAAAAAAAAATAGGTGAATAATATAGAAGCTGAATGGAGCAACTTAAAACTAAATTAGATCAGGAACATTTATGAAAGAGAGAAATAGAAATAAAATGACAATTATTGTGATGATTGGAGCTGCAATAATTGGAACAGGACAACAGTTAGTAATTTTTACAGTAAATCATTAAAAATTGAAAAAAAGTCAAGGAACTCATGGTATCGTATGATGCAAATTTGTATTACATTTTTACACAACACTTATCAGTAACTTTACAGGGTCAGTAATTAATGTTCAATAACAACAAACATATGTTGGCATTTAGGAAGTAAGGTTGGTTACATAGTTAATTAGGTAGCTTCTTTTCCTGGTGTTGTTTGAAGTCTTTGACTTGATTATGGCCATTCTACAGTTTGAGACACTTGCATTGCAGAGCATTTTTGCTTTGGTTAAGTTGTACTCTTTGAATATAAAAACAAAATTGTTTCTAGTGTGGTGTCCATGGGTTCTGTTACAGCCCTCTGGGAATCACTTAAAGTTATGATTAGAAATGCAGTTCAGAGTTGTATGTTAGTAAGAATAACTTTGTAGATTTATTTTCATTGTTTCTCACTTTATTAATTTACTTTTTTTATTCTAACAAGTTTTATTAATGTGTCAATGAGGGTGTTCATTATGTATGGCCTTTCTTTGGGCCATTGGCTGTTCTCTGGCATTCTTTGTAGCTCGTGTGGGATTTTGTATTTTGGGCTCCTCTTCTGTGACATATTGCTGACATCTTGAAGACATCTCATCTTCCTTCTGTGTCTGCTGACATCTTGCTCTCACTTGACCTCATCTTGTCTGTGGCCTGCTCTTCTGTTCCATCTCTGGTTTTGTTTCAGGTTTCCATCTGCCCAAGGGAAATACCAGCCTATCTCTTTAGTGGCTTTCTTTTCTTGTTTGTCAGCAATTCTTTTTGTGAAGTACTGTGAGGGCGCTCAGGGCTGCTACTGACTGAGAAGGATGACCAAAAATAGTGCTGTGCTATAAAATACTCCTTTCTGGCCTCTGCCTCAGGAGCTCCCAGTTCCCATGCTGCATCTCGCATCTTTTTAGTGTCTTCATGTTGGGCCTGGGGGACTGGAAAGTGATGGGATCATTGCCTTGATCTGGGGGGGTAGACGAATGAATCATCAGGATTACTTGTTTAATAGTTGTCAGAAAAACATCTCTTGGATAAATTTTGAGTGTTTTGTGGCTTGTCATATTTGCATTTAAGAATGGTTTGCCTCAGTAATGAATTGATCACCAATCTGCGTGTACTCCACTCCTTGTAGATGGGGGTGGGGGAAGGATTTTGTATATAGGCCCTTGTCTTTTGTCTTGTCTCTTGGGTACCTGGTGTTGGCTGTTTGGCCAGTTATGTTCAGTGGTTAAGCTTTAGGTTAGTTATAGAGAAAGTCAAAATAGGGGTGTTTCATTACAATCGATGCTCTACTTTATTTAAATACAGATTATAATATTAAAAAAATAATTACAGTACAGTACTAGTCAAAATAATGAAATATATGTTTAAAATTTATTTATTTTCAGCTACGAGGGAGTATAAAAACTACATTAAATAGCTGGGAAGGCAGTAAAGCAGATATTCAGGATGGTGGAGTCCTCACCATCCAAAGAAGTTCAGACAGTTTACTTTCGAGAGAAAGCACTGACCTGAAGACAACCGTTAAACTTTTCCTCAGTGATACCGATTCTTCACAGGTTGAAGATGCCATCAAAACTGGTAAGATACAGAATACCTGTTGTATATTAAAATTAAATATATATTTTATTTTTCCTTGCTGTGAATTTCATTAATTGCACATGCAGTCTCGCATAATTTTTATCTCGTATCTTCTGTTTCTCTTTTTATAAGTTACTTAACACTTTCGCGCTATCTGGACGCGCCGGCGCGTTCGGTTTCGTCTAACGTAAACGCATAGTGGACATAAAGTTATGTCAACTTTTAAAATATTTGTATAAAATTCAATTTTTATCCGATTTACTTTGGGTTTGTTTCAAACTGCGCGCTATGAGGCTCTCTTTCTCACCACTAGGCTGCATGGTACAATAAGTTCATGAAAGGTGTGGATAACTTCGATCAAATGGTATTTTGTCCCAAACGGGTTGCAGGTGGGTGACTTTAGCCGTTTATACTGGTAATTCTTCCCCCATATCATGTATTATATGCATATGTCTGTTTAGGGAATTTTATTCCGATCAATATACAACCAAAAATAACTGTGTGCAACAAGTATAATCTTGACAAACATAACAAAAGTAAAAATATTTCGTGTGTGTTTGACGCTCACTGATATGTTCCAGCGTTGTTTTATATTTGTCGCTATTCTAACTTACGCTTTGTTGATATGTTTTATCTATGGGCACATAGAACATTCTATTGCGAACACATTGACATAAAAATGAATGACGTACATAGAAAATTAATGTCATGAGAGTGAAATAAGTATAAACTTTCAAAGCGCCGTGCGTCGTCCCGTCACCGATACCGGGTAACAATTTCACCACTTCCCACACTCTTGCGGGCGGGCTGCATCATTATTCTACGCTTATATTCATATCACCGTGTTGGGAATTTCATTGCGAGTCCATTGACACCAAAATTAACGCTGTAGAACAAGTGTGGAGGTGATTACAATCCCAAGAGTAAAAACATTTTGTTGCTGATGGGCGCTCACAGCGAGTCATCTACGTAGTTATTTATTTGGTGCTGGTATCCCTATATGTTTCGTGACTTATTTTACTAATGTTCTTCTAGAGAATTTTATTGCGAACACGTTGGTACCAAAATGAAATACGTAGCATGAGAACTAAGGTCAGAAGAGTAAAAAGAGTATACACATTTTTGTTTTTACGCTTAAGCGATAAAAACGCAGCGCGCACATTCGGTTGGCTGAGTGACCTTTGCGGAGAGCGCGAAAGTGTTAAGAGATTAAATTGATGTGGTGCTGTGAAGCAGCTTTCGGCAGGATATGTTATAGATAACAAAACAGTATTTACCATATATTATTTAAAACAAAAAATGAGAGGCAGAGATTATGACCATTCATTTTAATTTTAACCTTTTGACATTTTTTCTGAGAGGAATCCTCACAAGCTCCCTGAAAATGTACACTGATACCATTAATCCTTAGCCTCACACATCAGGCTCTGCAACCCATAAAGATCAGAATGACATGAAAAGGAGGCTTATTTTTTAAGACTGGTTCACCCCATCTACAGGCCCCATGGGAGTACACGTTTTATTTAGTGTCCAAAGGCACGGTGAATCAGGAATCGACTCATAGAGGAAGAAGCCCTTAACCCATCGAATCGGGTATATCTGATGGTGTCAGGAAATGCAAATTGACCCCAGGGCCGATAACCCTTGCCCTAGTTGGAGCAAAATGGAATGGTAGAATACAGTGTGGGTGACAAATATATTTACCTGAATTTACCTGAGAGCCACTAATACTAGTGGCCTTGACATGAACAGGATGCCGGCAGCTTGTCAAAGGTCCCCCCAATTGTCCTGATCTTTTCCAGCTGTATTTTAAAACCCAGCAGAGTTTTGATATTTACAGCTTCATTAGGTAGGCAGTTCCATGGGTTTACAACCCTATGGGTGAAAAAAGCATGTCCTGTTTTCCGTCCTGCATTGTCTTGTTGAGCTTGAACCTGTTGTTACTCATTCGTGTAACATCTGATCTTTTGAAGAAATTGGTCAGATCAACATCCTCCAAATTGTTCATTATTTTAAAAGTTTCGACGAGTTCTGCCCCGTCATGCCTGGTTTGCCGTGTTGTTAGCCCTGTGGCCCTCACCTGTTCCTGATATAAAATATGATTAAGCTCTGAGATGATTTTTTGTTGCCCAGTGTTGCACCTTCTCCAGAGCAGCTGTGTCTTTCTGAAGATGAGGTCTCCATGCCTGGATGCAATAATTCAGGTGGGGGCACACCAGCGACTTGTACAATTGAATGACTACTTTCTTTTCCTTGAAGGTAAAGGTACGCTTGATTATTCCCAGGGTTTGGTTCATTTTTTTTTTTTTTGCTGCCACTCCCACTTCATATAATCATGAAGCAGGAATTAAATCAAACAAAGCAATGACCTCCAACAGTACAGTTGCTCTAGGGAAAGGTAACACCACATAGCTGAAAGTAAGCAGCAATCACCAGACCTGACAGACTGGTGAAATGGCTGGAACCAGGCAGAAGTATGAAGGCATAAAGTGGCAGTTAGGTGGATCAAAATTAGGGTATTTACCACATGGTACTTATCATTTGCCTTGTCTTCCTGGTGGGTACCTAGTTTTCTTAAAGCAATCTCTTGTTTTGTTGTGCCTATGCTCTCTGGGTAGTTTGGGCTTATCTGTACTCCCCAAGCTCCTCTCATCTCATAGTGAACCAGATTCTAGTCCTGGCTTTTGGTAGGTGACAAATGAGTCTTAGAGGCTTGGTGTGTGGAGCAATGGCTTATTGGCACTAGTGTACAGTTAAAGTTCTGGAACCTACTGGGGGGGGGGGGCTCACAATAATTTTTTTTTAATTACATTAAAATCTTTATTTTCAAAGACCTTTTACCAATATAAACATCTGTTATATATGTTACCCACCATCCTCTTTAACACTTGTACAACATTTCTATAACAATGTGGTACTTAGTACCTATGGGTGCACAATCCAAGTGGGTGGGGGATCAACGTGATCTTAGTTAAGAATTGGCTCCATATTATGAAAGTTGTTAAATATTTAAGGTTTGATAATAGTGTGTGTAATGTATAGTTTAATTGTACGTATTTGGTGGTTTTAGACACACGGAGGTTAGTGGTTTTTTCATATTTATTTAGTAGTCTTGGTTACAGCAGTCGGTTTGTTGGCGCTGTAGTGAAGTATCATAAGAGTTGAGATGAAGCCTGGAGCTGGGCAGAGAGCTGAATGAGACCGGGGATAGAGAGCTCGGATGCGGGGTGAGAGTCGTAGAGTGTGGCGCTCTGAATGCGGGCAGAGTTGAGAAGCTCGGTGTGGGACGAGAACGTGGAAGCTTGATGCTGCCAGAGTCTGGCTGTCTGCTCTGTGTCGAGGCTAAAGCGTCTTGTGAGGGTAGGAACTGGACATGCCGAGTGTAGTTTCTTGTTGGTGAATGTTGAAGATGTGCGATATCTCTCAAGCATCTGTACTGAACCTCTCTTGAAATTAGACTGATGATTATTTTGCTATCGATTGCTTATATAATCGGTCCACACCTCACCTGACCATCCTAACTAGTAGGTTAGGAAATAGTGTTAACTGTAATTAGAGAAGAGGTATGAATTTGTCATTAGTGGACTAAGTAAAATTAACAAACCCATCTCATTATTTGCACATAAGCTAATGAGAGTTTGGAGTAAGTACAGTAGAACCTCGTGTGACGACCGCCTCAAATGGCGACCATTTTGGGTAACGAACGCCCCAATCACCAACAATTCGTCTCGTTAGGCGACCGCTCTTTTAAATAACGTCAACACCACATGGTGGAATCGCGGGCTGCTTCTAGCACATTCTGGGTCGGACGCCTCCGACGATGCAAATAAATTGTTTTTCTTTGTTTAAAGATGCTATTGATGCCGAGATGTTGCAAAGCATTAACTTTTTTGTAGAAAAACGAAATGAATTTTTTCAAAGAAAGAACAAATGTCAAAAAGGCTCATTCAGGGTTTGTCAGTTAGGCTGCTCCATGTTTATTATAAAAAAATGAAGAATTTTGAAAAACAGAACAAATGTCAAAAAGGTTCGTTCGGTGTTCGGCAGGAAGGCTGCTCCATGTTTCTTAAATAAAAAGAAACTAAAAATAAAAACAGTTGAAACAATTTGAAAAAATGGACAAATGCCATAAAGGTTCGTTCAGTGTTTGTCGGGTAGGCTGCTCCATTATTGAGAAGTAAATGAAAAGTACAAAACAAATGGAACACATTTGAAACAAAGAAAGATTGAGATAATGGAGCAGCCTACCCGACAAACACTGAACAAACCTTTATGGCATTTGTCTGTTTTTCAAATTGTTTCAACTTTTTTATATTTTTATTTTTTTATTTAAGAAACATGGAGCAGCCTACCTGCCAAACACCGAACAAACCTTTTTGACATTTGTTGTTTTTCAAAATTCTTCATTTTTTTTTTTTATAAGAAACTTGGAGCAGCCTACCTGACAAACTCCGAACGAACCTTTTGCTATACAAAAAAAAAAATAAAAAAATGAACAAATTTGAAGAAAGAAAAATGTCATAAAGATTTGTTCAGTGTATGTAAGGTAGGCTACTCCATTATTTAAAACATCGAATATCATATTGAAGTTTTTCGGTGGTAGAACGGATTATTTTTATTTACATTCTTTTCAATCGGGAACTTTGTTTTGAATGACGTCAGTTTCACATGACGACCACTGCGCCGGAATGAATTAAAGTCGTTATTCGAGATTCCACTGTATATTATGTCAGTAATATACTTGCTACATGAGCAAAGTAAGATGGCAAATTAGTAGATTATTAGGAGCCCCCCTCCCTCTCAGTAACTACCCAATGCTACAGCCTAGAAAGGACCAAGCCTTGGGAAGCATATCAGGACTCTGAAGAAACATGAGTGCCAATCAGGGATGAGGAGCAAAACAAAAATCTCCCCCCCTCCCCCTCCCCTGTCCCTTCCCTCAAAAAGACAACGAAGAGTGGGGATCATTGCAGTACTGAGAAAATCCCACCAGGAAGCCAAAAATTGAAGTGGGTTGTGATCTAGTAGCGGTGAGGAACATCACAGCTGGGTTGTGTACCCCATGGCAACAATTGCTTGCCTTGTTTACTCTCGTGTACTAATTTCCTTCAAGCAGTTCCTTATATGTATGAGCAAATACATTTTTTATGGGATTTTCTCAGTTTTGGGTTGGGCTGTAATCCCCCCACACTTCCCTCACTTCATTGAGAAAGTCAAATTCTGATCCTGGTTTTGTGTAGGATCACATGGGTCTCGGAGGCCTGGTGGAGGCTTGTCAGCCTTAGTGCTATAGCTATAGCTAGCTATTGAGTGGCCTTCCAAAATAGGGCATTTCATTAAATTCAGAAATTAATTATAGGAATTTAAAAAGATGTTTCTTCAATTTTTATTGGTTTTCTTTGTTACTCTCCAATATCTAGATAAATGGGATAAATAGTTTTTCAATTATACAGTAATTTGATATTTGACATTCACTGGAGAGAGAATCCATTGTCATATACCTCTATAATCCCCATCACTGTGAAATAAGTGGATTTTACAGTTTAATTTGTTTTGTACCATAGAGTATAATACTATTTAATTGTATTACTGTACTTCCATGAGCTGTTCAGCTAGCTGTCTGGTTTTGAACTAACTTGGTACAATATTGGAAAGTCTTTTAATGTAAATGTTTAGATTGATTTTGTGACTATTCAATGGTATTTTTAAAAGAGTGCTGTAATATTTAAGTAATGTGTATATCATATGGAGTTAGTGATAATGATATTGTTATAACATCCCAAACAGTATCAAAAGTCCTGGATTTGCCGTGCATCGACTTGGTTATTGTAACACCTCCAGATGTTAGTGATGATGCAACACTGGAGAGCTTGGCACCAATGTGGCAAGCTCTAGAAGACTCGGTTACAAATGGTGCTGTGACGGCTATTGGCTTAGCGGATGTCTCCACGAGCCTCTTTACTGAGCTGTATGAGTGGGCTAAGGTAAGCTTGATATTTAACGTAGTTCAGAAAGGTATCTCATTCTACCACTCTCAAGTGTGATGCACTGTATTCTGTGAACATCAGCATCACATTGTTGATCAGATGATGTACTACACTGGCACCGCAGGTAACACTCTTAAACTCTCCCCGCAGGGTTATTGAGGGTGCTAGGGAGTCATTGTAAGTAATCAATCTAGCCAAAAAGGACAGTGATTCATTATTAACATAAAAATTAGGTAGTGTCAAAGAAGTCCTATAGGTCCATACTAGGCTGGTCCTGTTTAAATCTTCAGACCTGTTGAACTACGTATGTTCCAATAATGCTAGTTGGCAGCTTATTTTGCTCATTCACAATCCTGTTTCCAAACTAGTGCTTTTGTATATCCCTTCTAAAACAAAATTTCTCCAGCTGATACCTTTTGTTGATGGCTTTGACTTGACAATCTCAGAGACCTGTTTATATTTCCATTGTTTATACCCCTAACCCATTTATACGCCTGGAGCATATACAGGTACGGCCTTTTCCAGAAAGCTTGATCAGAGACCTGGTCACAGACCTGGTCATGGAGACATTGGTTTGCAGAACCATTACAAGGTAGAGAGGACAGGTCCAACCTCTACTCTCGACCAATGTACTCACCTGGTTGTGCTTGCGAGGGTTGAGCTCTGGCTCTTTGGTCCCGCCTCTCAACTGTCAATCAACTGGTGTACAGATTCCTGAGCCTACTGGGTAGGCTCTTATCATATCTACATTTGAAATTGTGTATGGAGTCAGCCTCCACCACATCACTGCCTAATGCATTCCATCTATTAAGTACTCTTGACACTGAAAAAGTTCTTTCTAACGTCCTTGTACCTGGTTGATACCTGGTTGATGGGGTTCTGGGAGTTCTTCTACTCCCCAAGCCCGGCCCGAGGCCAGGCTTGACTTGTGAGAGTTTGGTCCACTAGGCTGTTGCTTGGAGCGGCCCGCAGGCCCACATACCCACCACAGCCCGGTTGGTCCGGCACTCCTTGGAGGAATAAATCTAGTTTCCTCTTGAAAATGTCCACGGTTGTTCCGGCAATATTTCTTATGCTTGCTGGGAGGACGTTGAACAACCGCGGACCTCTGATGTTTATACAGTGTTCTCTGATTGTGCCTATGGCACCTCTGCTCTTCACTGGTTCTATTCTACATTTTCTTCCATATCGTTCACTCCAGTACGTTGTTATTTTACTGTTTAGATTTGGTACTTGGCCCTCCAGTATCTTCCAGGTGTATATTATTTGATATCTCTCTCATCTTCTTTCTAGTGAGTACATTTGTAATTCCTCTGAGAATTTTGTGTGTCATTGGATGACTGGACATGTGCTGTGGTCACCAACATACAAAATAGGAGGTACTAGGAAAAGTAGCATTTCACAAATATCAACATTTTTCTATTCAGATGTTGGTTACGTTAGTTTGGTGATTTGGCTTCGTGCATTTTAGTATTCCCTATATTGTATGTTTTGGCAAATCAAGGGAATGGGCTGGAAAGTTCGTCCATTGTGTAGTATAGTGACCAAAAGTTGTTGATGATTATTATAAATCCCAACACCATTCGCTATTATAAATCCCAACACCATTCGCTATATTTTGTGTATTGATGCATTGGTGTTTATACCTCGTGTCACTACTAATTATGATCCAAACTCTCGCAATTTGATTTCCCCATGTGATGTGATATTTATCAATGCAGCCTTTCTATAGGTCAAGGAATTTATCTTTATCAACCATAAACTTTATTAGCTATTTTTCCACCAATGACTGAAGTTTTAGCTGTGTTGCAGTCCATCAGAGTCATCTTTTTTATTCACTACATGCTCTATGTTTGTATCATCTGCAAACTTGCTGATGTTGCTGATCACTCCAGTATCAAGGTTGTTAATGAAAATGATAACAATCCATGGGCCTAGTACATGATTAGTACAAGTGTAAAGTGAAATGTACCCTGTCATACACTACTAAGACATCCATCCACTCTGACTACACTCCATTTATGCTCTTGTCCAACCACTTGGGCTGGATGGTAGAGCGATGGTCTATGCAGATTCATGCAGATCGGCGTTCTATCCCCAACCGTCCAAGTGGTTGGGCACCATTCCTTCCCTCCGTCCCATCCTAAATCCTTATCTGGATCTCTTCCAAGTGCTGTATAATCGTAATGGCTTGGCACTTTTACCCTGATTCAGGAAAGTGCTGACTTCTCTTCCCCCTATGCTGACCCTGTATTTTTTGTCTTTCAGACATGTTCTGATCCAGTTTAATGTTTTCTCCAATGCTACTTGGCTACTTATGCTGAACTGCATAATCTAAATGGTACCTGACAAGTCATGTAAAGTTGAAGAATGATATTAAATTCTTAACTAATTACCAACACCACTAGATACGAATATCAGTATCCTATTTGCTTTATTTCAAATATTTCTAATTTGGTTAATTGTAAAGATAGTAATTTGTAAAAGTTAGCATACATATGTCTTTAAAAATTGGCATTCTCATCTTCATTGATACATTTTGTATTGCTTTAGTGAAGACATTTAACTAGCTAAAAAAAATTTTTTTTTTTTTTTTTATAGATAAAACCAAGTACAATGCAAGTGAACCTCTCCTCCTGTTGCATTGTACCTCAAGAGTTGTCTACATTTGCTCAGCAGCATGATATTCAGGTGCTGACTCACAATGACCCTGCTGGTATGTATGTTGCTCTGTTTAAGATATAAAGCTAAAAATATTTTCAGTATTGTTACCTAGTTTTACTGTATTTGATTTTTCAACTTGTCTTTCATTTCCTGACAATATGGCCTAGTCATTTTACTGTCCATTGATCACCACATGTTGTCTCATTGTATTCTCACTTTTCATTACGGTTCTCAGAGACTTTGTATTCCATAATATTTTCTGAGCTAAGGAATCCTATTACTGTACTTGCCAGACTCCTGATATTTTTTATCTACATCGTCATGGGAATCTTTGCAAGTGGTGCTGTCATGTATTTACAAACATAAGAGTGTCTGTAGCAAGTCTAACGTACTGTAGCAAGCACCACCAATACCAAGAAATGAATCATAACTCTATAACCAACATGTTCTCCTTATAACACATTGCATTTTAATGTATATTTTACCCAAGGCCAAAAACTGATGTACAAGAAAATGGTAGTGGCTCACAAAATTAACATGTGAATGTCCCATACAGTATTCTGTTTGTGGGTCTTATAATTGGTTAGGTTAGGGCACTTTAGTACTGTACGACAGTTTCTTGACGTTGGGAACGCTCGGGAGAAAAGGCTGTTCTAACACCTCTTGCACGTCACCATTTTAAGTTCTGCGACTACATATTACTACAGTGGAACCTCGAGTGACGAGTGACTCCAGTTACGAGCATTTCAAGTAATGAGTGAGCCACTCGCAGAAAGTTTGTCTCGACTAATGAGCAAACCACATTGTGCTTCCTAGCGTTCCCGTTGGTTCTCGGGCGCCTTCGATGACAGTGTTGTTGTTTCGCAAGATGAGCATTTCACATGACGAGCTTGATGCCAGAATGGATTAAATTCGTAAGTCAAGGCGCCACTGTACTCTGCAATCTTTTGTTAGTTGATCAAAAGCTATTCCACTCGCTTCCAAGTGATACAAACGTCACAAAAGCAGGGTTGGAGGAGTTGGTCCTGGCACCCATCCCTCACCCTGTTAGTACTAGCTCGCAGCTACTGATTACGTTTTCGTTTGGGTTTTTCTTAACTGTTTTCTCAGCACAGGTTGTTTATCACTGTGTATCAGTCTTGTGGATGTCACTGACTATAGCTATACAAAGCAGGTGTGTTTTACGGTTCTCATCTCGAGTGCTGTTTTACGAAGGCTGACAGCCCTTCAGATATATTGTTTAAAGTTTTTGGCTGCATGTTTATCCTGGTTTAGCTCCTTTTGAGTTACACAGCTACCTACTCTTTGTTAAACTTGAACTCTGTTCCAGACAAGCCTTGGTACTGGGCTTCCATTATTCACATGCTAAGGGATGTCTATTTCAGGTTTTTTCACCAGCTTCTGACAAAGCAAAAAGCAAATAAAGACACACCACAAGTGTCCCTAGTGGACAGATTCTCACAAAAGGGAATCTGTCCACTGATAACAATCCCCAAACTGACCCATGATAATATCTTTCTGAAAGTTACAAAATACAATTGAAATATTCATAATCATATTTGTTTATTTGGATTAGAAATAGTACAGTAAATCATTTAAACACATTGGGGTAAAGTGATAGTTAGCCATGCTTACTAAACTCTTGCTTTCTATCTGATACTTGGAAGGAGTTATTAAAACAAGAATACAATACAGTAATAGGTTACATAAGATATATACAAAAATTTTAGACATTTTTAAAGTATGCTAAGTATCCAAGACAAAAATATATGAAATAACACAAAATTGGTTTCAGAGTGCATAGGAAGAATTGAAATACAATATGTATAAACCGAGATAAACGTACTCGGTACACATCATAGCATAGAAAACTGACATTTGAGGAGAGTGGGGAAAATGCACTCGCCTTATCCTTAACCAATCAACTGGAACAGGTGAGAGCAGCCCTAAGAGACATTCCTAATTGGGGTGACCATCTGGCACCAATAAACTCATGAAATACAAAAAGAAACTTGAGACAGTTCAGAGGTTAGCAACTAGATTAATGCCAGAATTGAGAGGGGCTCCCGGGGGTGGACCTCTTCGTGTTACGTGGTCATGGCATCTCTGTTTATGTGGTGCCCTTCCCTGATTGCAGAGCCTTCGCAGTGGACGCTCTTCGGCAGGATTGGTCGAGGTGGAGTTATCTGTACCTCTTCCATGGTCCGGCTGTTGCTTTGGGTTCTGGCTCAGTGGAGTCTTCCCACGGGAGAGTCGTCCTAGTGGCAACTTGGTGGCCAGCCCAGCCTTGGTTCAGGCACTGCTTGCTCGGTGTCCACACCTGGGGAGTTTTCCGTGACTCCGCCTCTTTCAGCAGCTCGGATAGCTCTGGTACACGGCTGGTTTGGTCTTCTCCGCTCTTCGCGTCTGTTCTTTTTTGTCACGGGTTTATCACCATTTGTTTGGTGATCGGGTGTCTTTGTTCAAGTTGTCTCACCTGAGAGCTTCTTTTCGGCGCAACAGTTTGGGTTGTCTTGGCTCTTTCAGGGCTGACTTTTCATGCCTAAAACTGTCGCTTCGTATTGTGCGGTGTTGGCGGAGCCGCTTCAGCTTGCGTTCAGGGTCGATGTCACTTCTGTCCCATTCTGTAGGCTTTCTCGGGCTTTGTTTCACCTCTGGCCTGTTCATGCGCCACTTGAGCCATCCTGGTCCTTGGACAGGGTGCTCTCCTATCTTTCTTCTCCTCAGTTTGTGGTGGCCCCTTCGGTTCAAGATTGTTTTTCCAAGGCTCTATTTCTGTTGGTAGTGGCCTCTGGGGGTCGGGTCAGTGAGCTTCATGCTCTCCTCCAGCGCAGGGGTTTCTGCTCCTTTGGTCCTGGTAGTCAGTTTGTTCGGTTGCAGCTTTGTCCTTCTTTTCTGGCGAAGAACGAGACGGCTGCTTTCCAGAGGGATCCTTGGGTTGTTAATGCTTGATTGGTCAGGCTGGGGGTGCATCGTGTGTTGTGTCCTTCGCCATTACTTAGGCACCTTGGCTTCTGTGGCCGGGAATTCGCTTTGGGTTGGTCCGGTTCCCTCATTCCCTGTTCTGCGGCTTGGGTCTCTGAGGTCATCCGTAGGGTCGTTAAGTCTAGCCAGCCTGTGGTCTGCCCTCGTGCCATGATGTTCGGAAGTTTGCTGCTTTGGCTACCGTCTTCGGCATCATGTCTTGGGCTGCTCTTTGGCCGCGGGGATTTTGGAGGTCGAACAGGGTCCTGGCTGCACGTTCAGTGGTCAACATTCCTGGTCCTGGGCGTTCGTGTGTGGCTTTGGGTCGCAGGTTACTGCCAGTTGTCTCGCCCTCAACTGGAGGAGTGTGTGGCAGCCGCTTCCCGGGTATGTCCCTCTTTTCCTTATCTTTGGTTATGTAGCTCCAGGGAGCTAAAGGGGCTCCCCACAGAAAACCAGCATTGAATGTAATGAAACGACATTTTCTGGGTGAGCCCTAGTGGCGCTCCCTGGCACTCTCCCTCCCTCCCTTCCTGCGGTTGGCAGTTTTCGCTTTGTTTTGATGCTTAGCCTCCGTACTGGAGTTACTGGGTAGCTAACTCCACCTTTCAGGGGAGGGGGGGATGGGGTAGCTGCACAGACAAGCGACCGGACGGCATGGTGTAATGTTTGCTTGTTTCCTTGGGAATCGAGGGAGTTATACCTCTCTGCTTGGCTTTTGTTTGCATTTTTTTACCTTGTGGGGTCTGTTTTGTTATGCCTACCTTTCTGGGTGCCTAACCCTGGTCGATGGCAGATAATGTAAACTCCCAACCACCAGAGAGTTTTTCCAGGGCCATTGCTCTCTGAGGGGGGCCAGGTTCTGGCTCGTGTGCCCCGGTAGGCAGAACTCCATTGACTAAAGCCCTGGTCTAAGGTATCGCAAATTAGCCCGATAGCCCCAGGGAGCCTCCGGGACTCGCCCAGAAAATGGCGTTTCATTACATTCAACGCTGTTTTTATACTTAATAAAAAACTAATGTCTTTAATCTTCTTTTTAGTATTTTTATAAAATGAAAATGTATTGTAATTTACCCAGACCTCAATACAGGTGATCAATCAAATAAGAGAATAATTGCTTTTTCAGAAATTGTGGATGAAGACACTGTGTCAACTATCACAAGCCGCCTTGGTTTATCAGGAACCCAGTGTCAGATACAATGGATTGCACGACACCGATCCATCCAGCAGTGTTTTGGCTTAGTTCAAGACAAGGGCTATATGCTTGCTTTGGCATGCAATGGCTAGATAATGTGAAGGACTTACCGGTGCCAGTTGTCTGAAGGTTCCAGTGTGTTGTCATCTTGTTAGTGAGGTTGTTATTGAGTTTCAAAAGTTTACAATTACAGTACAGTACATTTTTGTAAAAGTTATTATAAATAATGTACTCTTAACTTGAGCTGCTTCTGTTACTGTGAAGTACTGTATACTCATTCTAGGTAATATATCTTAGAATTTGAATACACCAATGCACTTTAATGACATTTATTGCTTATTGTTTAGATGCACTTCTTAAAATATGTGTCAAGTGTCTGGTCCTAAATTGAGCCAAAAAACTGTGCTATGAGTTAAGGGTGCTCTATATGGCATTAGTGCACTCTAATGCCCATATTGAAAATATGGGCCTTACAGTCTATTTTATAAAGTGTAATTTGAAGTTGCTACACAACTATTACATGTGAATGGTAACTGTAATATTTATATGGCACACTAAGCTCTAACAAAAGTTTTAAAATAGTTAGGAATGATTTAATGTTTTTGTACATCAGAGCTCATGATGAATAGAATCTTGTCCCAGTCCTTAAATTAATTACGATTGTATATTTTCTCTCCTAGTCATTTTGTAAAAAGTAATTGGAAATGATGAACTTTTATCTTGTTCAGTAGCCTGTTTTCTGGGATTAGCATTACTTGGCAGGCATGAGCACATTTTCTGATTATGGTCTTGAAATTGCAATGATTGTAATGAATAAGTTTATTAACATAAAATGAAATATCATTCTGGCTATGTGATCTTTTTTTTATCTATGATAGAATGAGATACTTAACAAGGGGTGAGGAGACTCGACTCTTGCTGAATGTTGATGGTTAAAGATTCTAGCTACGGCTACAGGAATGAATGTGTACAAATACCTGATGCATAATGACACCAGCTTTTAGGAATACAAGGATGAAGTTACTTAAATGCTAAGAGATATTGCCTTTTTATGACACTGTGTTGATCTTAGAATTTTGCATTCGAGTAAAAATGGCCCATTATGATGAGGATTCATTCCAGTAGATATGTTATATAGAATACGAATGTATCTGCAATTTAATCAATCTTGTTGAATCAATGATTGTCAAATTGAATGGCTGTGATTTTATTGTATTGAATAATATGTGTATGAATTATACATTATTGTCACAATTATTTTGTTTGAATATTATAAAACTTCCTTAATATAAACTGCATCAAAGTCATGTTTAAGTTAATGTTGTCTAGCCAAATTAAGCCATTTTTTGTCTATCAGTTATGCTGTGGCAATTGTTGGCCTTTTCACATACAGTGGGGACTCCCTGCCTATTATAGGTCCTAAATAAGAAACTTTTGCTGAAAATTAAATGTATTCGTTTTTGCCTAAACAAAAAGTTATGCAAGTTCATTTGAAATTGAACATAAAGTATCCCAGCTTTTGCAGGTAGTATTAATCCAGTATTTGCCAATAGTCATCTTTGTGACTCGGCAAATCTTCACATTTTCCATGTTATTTGCTTGTTTGTAATGATCACTTGTTCATAACTTAGACTGTAGATAAAAAAAATTTTGTACATGTTTGCAATGTTACTGCTTGTATTGTTCCTACCATACCCCAGTGGAGTGTCTCGTGTGAAATTTTGCTAGGCCGAGACTCACATGGTGAGAGCTTGTGCCCCTTCCTCCTACTGTTATAAAAATCCTTTTCCTTGAACATTATTCATACCATTCACTCGTTACTGCTTTTTACGAATGGATCAAAGTCTGCCAATAGTATTGGCTACTCTGTTGTTTTTCCCTGATCAAACCTACTGTGTGTGTGTGTGTGTGTGCAACCTCTTCCCAAGACTAGCATTTTCATGGCAGAGCCTTATGCATACAGCAATATTGTATGCTTTATGGCAAGTGCTTTTTATATACCAACATTCTTTTGTTATTGTAGATGACTCATGGTGACCTCTTAGCTCTAAAGTCTAACCTTTTCTATCCTATAATGGCAAATTCAAATACAGTACTGGTTGTTTCTGTTTTTAGCTGACTTAAAATATCCTGCAACACAGTTTGTGCTAAATAGCCGAGACTGAGAGTCTCGGCTTCGTGTCTTTTGATAATTGTTTACGTTCCGAGTACGATGCTCAATTGTTGCCTAAGGCAAGTTCCTTCTGGTCCCACAGGCAGGATTATGCTGTCAGATGTACCAGTATTTGCCATTCTACACAGTAGTGGCAATACTGTAGTTTAAAATCAATCATGCCTAGTCAAGGTGATGCTAAGGTGACAGATAATTCTCTATCCAACCTGGAATAATTTCTAGAAGGTACAATTAAAAGCAATCAACATCTGTTCAAGCATTTTGCATTACAGGTACTGTACTACCAAGCATTGCTCTCATAAGCTACCAATTGGCTCACCAGGCTGCTGCTATCCCTGATTCCTACCAGGTGGCAGCACTTTATATCAGTGTAGGGCACTTCAACCTGAAAGAATCCAAATTCAACAGAGGTATTAGCCATCTGTTCCCATTTTTGCAGATGATGCTACATTAATGAAGTTTATACATGAAGATGAGTGCATATACATGAAGTGAGGAGCTACAGGGAAATCTAGATGTACTCTGGCCAACCTGTCCTACAAATTATGTTGCTGTTCACCTGTGTGCGCTACCGCCAAAAAAGGACGTACTGTAATTTTAAAATAATTTTTTTATTTTTTCCAGAACAGCAAGGTAAGGATACTCTGGTAGGTTAGGAGAGCAGAAAGTTTTTCTAAGGTTTCAAAACGTCATGTAAATTGTTAATTGAAAGTTTCCTCTCCTAACCTAACAGATTAAGCCATAGGACCCCAAAACAGGAGAGTACGTCAATTTTGTGGCCGATTTCATTTTGAATTATGTCGATTTTTAGCCCGAGCGCACATACGAGCAAAAAGCAACATAATTTGCAAGAGGACAGGTTGCTCTGACAATGGTCAGATAGATGTAGCCTTTTTAACCCTAACAACTGCAATAAAATTAAGATAGGTGAGGGAAACAAGACTCCGGTAACTGTACAAGTTGAAAGAAGGGCAGCTCCAAAAACTGTGAGAGAAGAATCTGGAAGTACTGTACATGTATATATAATGCCAAACCTGTCACTCGATGGATATATTTACAGCATATGCCAAATTTGCAAAATATCTAAGGTAGACAAACAGGCCTTAAGGATACTATATGCAATTTATGTTAGACCAACTTTTGAATATGCAGCATGGATATAGAGTCCACACCTGAAAATGAGAAAGTACACAAATATCTACAAGAATTGTCCCAGAGCTGAGAGGGAACTCCTACAGTGAAAGGCTGAGTGAGCTCAAACATAACACATTGGAGAGAAGGCAAATCAGAGGACACATGATACCAATGTATTCAGGGGAAATTTACAGTGAACGAAAAAGGTAATGGGAAACAGTGTGACCGGAAGGGGGAAGCTAGAGAGAAATGTCTGGTAAAACTTTATTAGCATAAGAGTTGCAAGTACTGTATGTGGAAAGTTTACCAATGGGGGAAACTCGTTGAAATGAATTCAGTATGTAGCCACAAAAAAGGAAATACCTCCTGCACATACACTCACATGAAGGAATTTTTAAAACCTGCAACTTCTTGACCAAGATGCAACAGGCCTATGTCTTAGAATTAAGAGGAAAATATACAAATTACACGCTAATTAACAGTAATTTTATTTAATAATGCAAATTAATTAACCCTAAGCTAGTGACATCCAATTCTTTAGAGGCAAGTAATGGACTACAAATTGTACAGGGAACTCAGACAATTACCTTTATCACTGCTCCCTCAGGCAATGTTGTAACCTGGTGGCTGATAACCCCACCACCCTCCTCCAGTACTCCAGTTTGCACTAAAATCTTTTTGTCTTATGCTTTAAAGAGATTAAGACTCCACCCACTAAGGCTCACCTGGCCCTAGAAACTCTGCCCTTCTTTCTAGGCCTACACCCAATGAATTTGAACCAGCCCTAGGTTGGCACTCTCAGCCAGTGAGAACTAGGCCCTGTCCCTTGTCCAATGAGCAACCTTTAAAAACTCCAGAAGTGGGGGTTTTCTCAGAAACTGGTACTACTGACTTATATGACAAACCAAGAGGCGAGACGTGACAGACCTCTCTTGTAACCACACACCACAAGGGGAAAACCTGTGACCCAAAGTTTGATACCCAGGTGGGTGTGACTAATCTGCCTCCAGCAGTCAAGAGGAAGAGAAGATAAGAGAGGGAGAAGAGTTGAGTTCTACTTGTCTGATCGTTACATGAGTACCCAAATTAGCCAGAGATATTAGAAAGAACTTTTTCAGTGTCAGAGTAGTTAATAAATGGAATGCACTAGGAAGTGATGTGGTGGAGGCTGATTCCATACACAGTTTCAAATGTAGATATGACAGAGCCCAGTAGGCTCAGGAATCTGTACATCAGTTGATTGACTGTTGAGAGGCGGGACCAAAGAGTCAAAGCTCAACCCCCGCAACCACAACTAGGTGAGTATATACACAGCTATATATTTCTCAATATTAACACCGACTTGTAACTCTTCCTAGATGGCTGTAATAGGATCCCTCAACATCACACCAGAAACTGGTACTGAGAGAGATATCAGATAATATCGAGAGAGATACCAAATAATATACACCTGGAAGATACTGGAGGGCCAAGTACCAAATCTACACAGTAAAATAACAACGTACTGGAGTAAACGATATGGAAGAAAATGTAGAATAGAACCAGTGAAGAGCAGAGGTGCCATAGGCACAATCAGAGAACACTGTATAAACATCAGAGGTCCGCGGTTGTTCAACGTCCTCTCAGCAAGCATAAGAAATATTGCCGGAACAACCGTGGACATTTTCAAGAGGAAACTAGATTTATTCCTCCAAGGAGTGCCGGACCAACCGGGCTGTGGTGGGTATGTGGGCCTGCGGGCCGCTCCAAGCAACAGCCTGGTGGACCAAACTCTCACAAGTCAAGCCTGGCCTCGGGCCGGGCTTGGGGAGTAGAAGAACTCCCAGAACCCCATCAACCAGGTATCAACCAGAAATAATTAGATCTTTGATATTCCAAGAGACAGACTAAACAAAGTATAGGTATATGCAAATACGCCATACAAATATATAGGGACCCAATACAGTATATAAAACTCTCCAATAAAGCAAAAAAATGGCTGACCCTTTGCTTTATTCAAAAGTAAAACAATCAAGTACCTTATTTCCTCGGAATAGTATCGCAGCTTGTGTTACATAACTCTCCTATACTGTACTACCTTACTATCTGGAAAATATAACTACATCAATATAATTTCTCATTATCATCATCTTACCATATTAAAGTTAGTACATTAATTATGTAAACTTTAAAATTACTCCAATTTGTCATTATATAACTCAACAGTATTTTATTTATTTGTTTAAGTTTGACTGATCATCAATTGCATATATATATAAGTTCATTGCAAGTCCTGTGTTGGCCTTAAGGGGTGGGGGAGCACAAAAATATTCGTCCAAATATGAAATATAGTATAAAATGTTAAACAAATCTAACGTTATTTGGTATCAGCGTCGTAAAAAAAATCATCCCAATATGTTAAGAAATGGATTTTATATGAAATTTAACAAAAAAAACTGCGCAACCAGTACTGATAATAACAATAACGCCTCCTAATTAGTGGAACTCATAGATAATGCAGTGATGAAGAGATGGAAGCACCTGTCTGTCGCACAAAGAAGAGTATAGTAGTATATGGAGGGTTCACACAAAGTTACAGCCCCGCTCCTGTACCAGGTAAGTCCACTACGGGTTCACTATAGCCTGTGCTACTTGGAACTTTTTGTTCCCAGTAGCTGAATCTTAAACAACAAGAGGGTCCACAAAGTGGATATGAGGTTGGCGTCTTCTAGGATTGCTGATTGCCACCTGAAGTGGTTTCCACCTTTCTACTAATCTTCTTCTTTGTGCGACGGACAGGGGGCCAGCATCTCTTTACCCCTGAGTTCCAGTAAATTGGAGGTGTTATCGTTACGAGGAACCATGCTAAGAGCAACGTCCAGGTATGCTCTCTCTTATACCAGGCATTGTAAGTAGCAACTGTTGCATGCATAGGATTGTCAAGTAATGGTTTTGGCACAAATCGGTCT